TTTATACAAAAATTCCATTTTATTATTCAAATGTTGGTTAGTTATATTACTGTTATATTACTGAATTCTATACACAGTAGAAATTAGAAAAATTAATTTATTGATTAGATTGTCTACTTCATTTTGAGTTACTTTAGGAAAGATGTGACTAAATTCACTCGGTGTTGTTTTACTTGTATCTTTCCATTGTTTTTTTTAGGACTGCAATTGATCAGTCTCTTGTTGGCATATGAGCATCCTGTGCGGATTGCTTCGATATACTCTTAAGTCACAAGCTTGATAAGCAAAGATGGATAGTGGTTAGCAGTAGAATCTACGATGCATGTTTCGTCCTATTCGGGACTCGTCAACTGGATGTACCTGCATCCCAGAGTTGATGTTCACTACAGGATTCGAACCCAGTACCGTTCGCTCCAAACGCCATCGTGTTATCCACTTATCTACCGAGTACTGATAGTCACCTGCTTGTGCAATGGGGTGAAGTTTAAATTCACTTTGCTTAAAAAGATGTGAATTAATGTTAAAAAGAAAATTGTGTATATCCGTAAATTGGCTTGATTAGTTATCAGCCAAATCAAGGCAGTATTTCAGTTTCATTGTTAACATCATATAATGACCCTTGTTAAACAACCATCGAAAGCCATGAGACACTGAAACTCTATGATAATTTGCATCCACGATTCTCCCACTAGAGGTTAAACCTTCTGTCTCAGATGTAATTAACTTAACCTCTGAACCACTGAGCTAAAGAAATTTCAAAAGTCTCTATCTATCTTTATATTCAGTAATTTACTTGTTGAGAATCGAAGTGAATACTAACAATGATTGCATTTTCATTCTAGTTATAAATTTTATAACTGACAGGTGTATAATTATAAGTTAATTGGTACCACCTGAGTATTCACTTATTTAATTATTGATAAACCATACAAGTAAATGAACAAACTATTATCCATAGACTTTCACCCTGAGGGGATTATATTCTATAAAAACATATCGTCGAAACGTATTTTTACCTAATTGAAAATACTGTTTGAGCTACTCAGTCCCACGAATAAAATGTGAATAAAACGAATACTTTTAAGACGACATTATAGGACTAAAAATGTTCTATTTGTAAGAATCATTTAGTGTATTTGAAGCTTGCATTATTACTATCTAATATAATAAAAAAAAGATAAGTAAGTAAATGATATTATTTATATGTATATGTTATCTATGAGTTCTTCTTACCGTTTACCCGCTCGAAGTACAAAATGTTGCTTCATGATTGGATTGCATCGACACCTGAACTAATGATAGGGAATGAAGTAATTGAGCGTGTCAACAGCTTCACTTATCTTGGAAGTCGCATCAGCCCTTGTGGTCTAATGTGTGACGAAATCTCGGCACGGATACAGAAGGCTCGACTAGCTTTTGCAAACTTGTGTTATTTATGGCGTAGGCGAGTTATCCGTCTATCAACCAAAGGACGGGTTTAGTGCGCAGTAGTTCGTTCCGTCCTACTTTATGGCAGTGAAACATGGCCGGTAAGAGTAAAAGATATTCGTAGGTTGCTAGTATTTGATGATAGGTGTCTTCGAAACATCACTCGTATATCCTGGGACCATGGAGTACGTAACCCAGTTGTTAGGAAACATGTACTAGTTAAGGATGGATAACCAATTAATGAAGAAATGAAACGTCATCAGTTGAGATGGCTGGAACATGTGTTACGTATGCTCAACCAGCAACTGCCCCGACATGCGATGTTTTATGGTGTAGGAGTAGGTTGGAAGAAAGCTAGGGACGGCTAGACCAAAACATGGCACAAATTCATGACGTTACCGACAAGTGCACTGTGTGAGCCATGTTGGTAGGTGTAGACAACCTGGTTGGGATCCGCAAGATGATAACAATCGACGGTAAGAGACCTTAAATGACATGGCTCAAAATCGTTTGCAATGGCGCAGGTGCATCCACTCTTTGTGTTCTCTCAAATTCTAATCTTCTGAATTCTTCTTGTCCCCATTTTTTCTCCCTTTTCAAATTTATTTCATTGAATTATACTCCTTGAATAACATCTTCAAACCCCGATCATTCCAATTACTGTTTATACTTGTACTAATTGTACCACTATGAGATTTGAATAGGCAACTGCATCTCTTTGCTAATGTAGTATAGCAACTTGAACTGATGTACGTACGTAGGAAGTTCAACTTTCTGGATGGCTTTGACAATAATAGAAACTGTTTCAAATCGTTCATTATTATGCAACATCATTTTGCTGCTTATTCTAATTGAAGTTAATTCATAAAGTGACATATGACAGTTTATTCGTTTCATAATAAAATTTTCATGCATAGTTATCATAAATATGTTCCAGAATAAAACAATAGTTGTCTATCCGATATCAGCTAATTTATACAAAAGTACTTTTAACATGTAATTCACAGTTTTACTTTTATACAGGAATATATCGCCAATGGGTATTTTTCATTTTAAAACTTCACTCATTTCATAGTTTAGATATTATATTTATAAAGCAATTTTGTTTTAAAGGTCAATTTAATTCATGAATGTATCCTGATAATGAAACTTTTGTAGAGGTCTGTTATTTAATCGTCATTTGAATCGAACAAATGTAGTCGAGAGGACTTTCCACTTTAGTGGCCCGTGGATCTGACCCCAAGGAGATTGTATTGATGATTGTTGTTGAAATATATATATCTTGCCTATTCTCGTATATAATCATCGACTTTAATCGCGTTAGTCAATAACGGATTTAGATGAGTCGAATAACGAGAATGGACTTGTGAATACATATATTTGGTATATAAAGTGAATGAAATAGAACAAAGCAAAACGACGCGCAGTGGAGATGGCGGGTAAGCCAACTCCCATTTAAACCAAGCGTTAATCAATAGTTATAGTTACACAGAAGTAAGTTACAGACATGTAGTGAGTAATGGGATAAGAAATATACACACATCTACGCGCTCATATAAAAAACGGTCAAGATTGATAAGCGAATAATTAACAAGATCAGAATGTGACTCAAATGGGATGAATAGAATGGGCTATCCAAAAGCTATAATAAGGTGGTAATATGGGCTTAACATAATAACTGACACTAAAAAACATTAAGAAATGACTTATTACATTTTTCACTTTTAATTACAAGAATTACTTACTTACTCCTAATGGAGCATAGACCATCGACCATCTACTCTGTCCTCGGAATTACAAGAATAAGAAGCTAAATTTTGAAACAAAAGACGTAGTGTTTAAACTGTGAAATTAAAATTACTTTTTTGTTAAATAACACCTCTTTTTCTCAAATGATTTCACAGTACTAATAGTATAAAATAACTTGTGATTTGAATTGTTCAGTTCAATCATATGTAACTATAAAACTTAGCAGATTGAATTTGATACTCATTGGAAGTATCAATACAAGAAAGACTATAGTCATAATGACTAATACCAGTTAACATGGAATGTACATTAACTAAGACTTTTCACTGATTTCTATCAATATTCAAAGATAATTGGTTATTAGAACATTTGATCCATGAAGTGTTTAGGCATGTCAGTAGAAAGTGACTTACTTACTTACTTACTTACGCCTGTTACTTCCAATGGAGCATAGGCCGCTGACCAGCATTCTCCAACCCACTCTGTCCTAGGCCTTCTTTTCTAATTCCATCCAATTCTTGTTCATTTTTCTCATGTCTATCTCCATTTCTCGGCGTAATGTGTTCTTTGGTCTTCCTCTTTTCCTTTGACCTTCAGGATTCCATGTGAGAGCTTGTCTTGTGACGTAGTTGGGTGCTTTCCTCAATGTGTGTCCTATCATTTTCATGTCAATTACATATGAAAGAATTGAGTATGATAGTATTCATAGAAGAAGATTTATAGATCAGGTGGATGATTTTGATGGCGATTTTTTCTCTGAGTTGGATGGCTTGGTCTTGGAGCTTTCATCATTCTTCTGAACGACGTGATCAACAAAAACCTCAAGTAGAATTGAAGTGTTCCAACTTCTCCACATATGGCTCACGTTTTGCATTTTTAACCTCGATCTTCTTTGGTAGGTCAACATTAATCAATCAAGATCAAGGTCTACAGGAAAAATTGTGGATTATATGTGGAGACATTTTAACCCTTCACTTCTACTTAAAGTTTGTACTGATGATGTTGTTCATAAAAACGGTGAAAGAACTACGACCAAAACATCCAGCTCAAAGAACAAAACTACATCGAAAAGTATTCATAAAAATCAGGATCAATGAACAGTTATTTCTATTTTTAGTAATGTAAAAATTCACTTGATGTTGTTTCACTTATTTCTTCCTATTGTTACTTAGAACTGTAATTGATCAGTCTCTTGTTGGCATATGTGCATTCTGTGCGGATTGTCTCGATATACTCTTAAATCACAAGCTTTTTAAGCAAAGATGGATAGTGGTTAGCAGTAGAATCTACGATGCATGTTTCGTCCTATTCGGGACTCGTCAGGGGGATGCAACTGCATCTCAGAGTTGATGTTCACTCCACTGCTAGCCACTATCCATCTTTGCTTATCAAGCTTGTGACTAGACTATATCGAGGTAATCCACATAGAATCCACATATGTTAATAAGAGACTGATCAATTGCAGTCCTAAATAACAATGGAAAGATACAAGTAAGCAACACCAAGTGAATTTAAACTTGATCCCATTGTACAAGTAAGTGGCTTCCACGACTCAATAGCTAAATGGATAACGCTATGGCATTTGAAGCGTACGGTACTGGGTTCGATTCCCGGAGTGAACTTTGAGATGCAGGTACATTCAGCTGACGTGTCCAAAAAAGAGGACGAAACGTGCGTTGTGGATTCAACTGCTAGCCACTATCCATCTTTGCTTACATAGTAATGTAACATCCTAGTTCATTAATATATATGTTAATTCTATTCCACTACACTAAATTGTATTGGAAATGTTTAATATAGATCTTTATATGTTTATATTTTAGTGTATTTTTGAAGCAACAACTGTAGATGATTTTTGTGAAGAATTAAAAAATTTTGCTAATAATGAATGGAAATTATTAAATCAATTAAGAAATCTCATTTGTACTAACAATATTACCGCCAATACAACAACTACTACTACTGCAACCAGTACTAGTAGTAGTAGTAGTAGTACTACCACTACTACTTCTACCATAAATAATAATGATAATAATACAGTAACAACAAAAGCAATAAACAGTGTTACTACCTCCAATAATAATAATAATGAATACATTGTAGAATCTGAAAACATTCAATCAAATACAGAATTAAATGAGGTAAGTCCATTAATCTACAATAATGAATAATTCTATTTAACTTCATAGTATAAATACTTCTTTATGAATGTTGATTTGAGTAATCAGGTTAATATAATGATCTTTTAAACAAGAATATTATCGTTATATCCTAGTGAAGATTAGATTACGAATAACTTTTGAGATCTATTAATGGATTAATATTTATTTATATATTCTTATGGTATAACTATTCAATAATAAGATTGTGTATATTTATATTCCCCTTATTATAAGCTTCGTTTTGACCCATAGATTATTATTGTACGATTTACTGTTCTTAAGTTATACTCAGTTTATTAATTACTATCTCCCATGTTCACAGCCACTTTTTCACGAATGTTATTTCTTATTTTGTGGTGCGTTGAGGTGTGTTTGGTCGATATATAAACACAGTATGTTTGAAATATATGATTCGCATAGTGTAAGCTGGTATTAGTGTTCTGAACTCAACTGGACGGGCTAGGCGAACATAGGACTAATAAGAACGCTAAGCTGCTCATACCAGTCGAACGTCATTGGTTTAGCACAGTGCGAAGATTGTATAAGTCGTATTTCGATTGGCGGATAAAGTCGCAACACTTATCGGATGAATTTAGCCTACTTTAAACATCTTGGTTACATGTTCCTATCATCTAGATATTACAATAAGTAATCTAATTTTATTTATTTTAATAAATCATTATGGTTATGAATCACATAAACAATTCAGGTGCATTTGTGAAAAATGTACAACCTTTCCTTGTACAAGTTACATAAGACCTAATCAGAGATATCGCGGTTGCTGCCACTGTTCATTGAAAAGAATATATACATTATTCAGATATCGATTGATTGGACTGTTAACTACTAACTGGCGATCACTTAATATTTATCGCCAGGATCGATCAAGAAATAAGAAACGAAAACTCGATGAAATACTTTGCGCTGAGAATTCTATGTTGTACTAAAAATATAATGTTGAATAAAGCCACTAATAATAATTAATAATAATAATAATAATAATAATAATAATAATAATAATGGCCGAAGACATCATTTTCGAAATACAGGATTCATATCGCAGACGGTGGGATTGGTGTTCTGGACTTAACTGGTTGTGCAAAGCGGTAAGCAGGACCGATAAGTACTCTAGACTGCTCACATGGATTTATGCGTTACTGCTTCGATCGATAATTCACTGCTCTATAATTGGCAGTATCATTACATTATTCATTAGCATGGCACACAGGCCACAAGTTATAACGGACGTGAAAAATACATTCAAAAAGATATCCTATGTCTGAATATACAGATTCTTATTTTTTATTTTACATTTATCAATAGTTATGTGCAATTAATAATTGAATTCATGAGCCGTTGAAAGTTAGACCATCATGAAAAACCTGGGAGCACTGGATAGCCGTTTTGTTCTAGTGCGCATCCACGATCTCGCTCGTGGGTCTCGAACCTAGGATCTTCACTCGCGGTCGCGAACGCTTAACTTCCGACGGTGTCAATGTCTAATTTCAACCATGTTTATAAAAAATAACCAAAATGTGTAATATTTAACCTTGATTCATCAGTAAATTAATGCATTAGTACAATATACTACATTGTAAAATCAAAATATCACAACAAGCAAAGATTACTTATTTACTGAGTTGTATAAGTAATCCCTGTTAACATTATTCTCCTTTGTAATTGAGTTTATGTGAATAGGTTTTTTATTGTGTATCAATTGGATGTGATGTCGGTATCTGTTTCCTCAATCATTTCGTTGATGTCGGTTTTTATAGCTTTAACCGATACACTAACATCTCGGATTATCCGTTATCAGTGACTAACTAATCAGCCCATAAATTTTTTGAACGACTTAAATATGTTAAGATCACCTGTTCATTTATAAATGACTGATCACTGGGTAGTAGTCGTTGTTGTTGTTGTTGTTATGTATATCAAGTCATTCTTCATACGGATAGAGTTCTGTCAGTCAAGTTGTAATATGGTCACTAGTCACTAGGTAATTCGACAACGCGTGCACTTTGTAAATTCACGTCGCGGAAAGCTCAGTTGTATCATCGGTGACTGTGAAGTTGGATAACAAAGGATTGAATCCGTCAGGCACTATCAATTTCTCTCAAGATTACAAGTACTATCTATTATATGTTACTTTGATTGTTACATTTAATCAGTTTTGATAAAAGAAATCGAATAAAACTACGTTGAAATTTCATTCTGCATATGAGTTTTTCATTGATCATTATTCTTTAAAATTAGAATGTACACAAATCAGAGCATAGTTTGATCAGTTTCTGTTGTTATGTTTAAAAACACAATTCCTCATACCTAATTTTAAAGGCTTTAATTATTATCATTATCATTAAATGCGCAATTATTGCATTTAACTTGCTTGTTTTAAATTTGTTATGAATGAATCACTATGGATACTAACTGTAAGTACTTATATGGTAATTAAAAAGGATCACATATTCCTATGAAACTAAATACTAGAAACATTAAACACTTTATATGATGGGAAAAATTTTTTATTGTACAAGCTAAACTGATAATCAAACTTTCATGATTGTATGAGGGTAGTGACAATTTTAAAATTTTAATTTATTTTGTATTGTTTATTTGAATTTTTCAATTGATGTTTATAATTGCAATTGATCAATCTTTTATTGGCATACATTCATCCTGTGCGGATCGTTTTCATATTACCTTACGTCACAAGCATTGTAATCGAAAATGGATGGTGGCTAGCAGTTACATTCAGGACGTTCGTTTCTTTCTATTTCAAAACTCGTCAGCTGAATGAACCGCGATGAACATCAACTCTGAGATGTAGGTCTGTCCAGCTAACGAGTCCTAAACAGGACGAGATGCGTGTCCTGGATTCCACTGCTAGCCATCATCCACCTTCACTTGTAATTTTAAATTATGTGTTGAATAATTACTATTTGAATATATACTTCAAGAAATTAGTACCGAAGTTTTTTGTGGCGAATAAAGCCATGATTATTAATTTCATACTTCACATTTTAGATTTTCCCAAAAGATGAGTGCAGATTTCAAATGAAATCAGAGACTAGACAGCCGACAATTAAAGAGTCCGTAGATAATGAAATAGCATCAACGGATGAACTGAAAGCCAATGTTATTGATTCAGTCACTGTGCTACATGAGCAAGGAAAGTAAGTTTACTGTTATTATCAAATATTGTATTGCATCTTATTTGAGATAAATATAATTGAAATTTTAATTATAATAACAATGCTTGTATCTAGAAAGTACTAATATACTATATGCAAGAAGTGATATATATATGGACCATCCGTTTTTTGGATTTTATTGAAGTCACGAACCGATCTATGTTAGACCAGCATCGAAAACCTGGAATCACTGGACGACCGTATCGTCCTAATGTGAGACTGCTCAGCGATCCCCATCTACCACACCTTATACAGGACTCGAACCTAGCACGAACGCATAAACTTTAGATCAATGAGTCTGCATCAAACCGTGTTGACATCTAACTTCAATCAATTTACGACACTTTGTGACTATCTTGTATTGTTTGAGTTGGTTAACTGCTTCACATCCTACACAGATTTGCTCCACTGGTTATGGTTACTTACTGGAACTCCAGGAATTTCCTCTCAAGATTGGTCACTAATGGACACATTATAAATGCTAGTAAGTGGTTACGGAAATTGCCAAATTTCATTGACAGACAGTTTCAAAAAAAATGCTAAGTAATTAGAAATAATATTGGTGTTGTGAACCGACCAACTTTGGTTATCCGCTGAAAACTAAAAAGCACTTTATAGCTGTTTTGAACAATTATGAAACGCCTTTGCAGTACGCATCAAAGAGACCGAAGGTCATTGGCCAAAACAATAGTTACTTACTTACGCCTGATACTTCCATTGAACCACAGGCATCCAACCAACGTTCTCCAACCCATTTTGTCCTGAGTCTTCATTTCTAGTTCTATCCAATTCTTGTTCAGTCTTCTCATGTCTGTCTCCATTTATCGGCATAATATGTTCTTTATTCTTCAACTTCTCCTTTGACCTTGAGGATTCCATGTGAGGGCCTGCCTTGTGAAGTAGTTGGGTACATTCCTCAATGTGTGTCCTATTCACTTCTAGCGCATCTTTCTGATTTCTTCCTTCACTGGAATCTGGTTTGTTCTCTCCAATAGTAGGTTGTTGCTGATAGTTTCTGGCCAACAGATCCGGATTTTTTTGTATAGACAACTGTTAATAAACACTTGTATCTTCTGGACGATGGCTCTCGTAATTCTCCAGGTTTTCGCCTCATACAGTAAAATTGTCTTGACATTTGTAATGAAAATTCTCAGTTTGGTGTTGGCTTGTAGTATCGGTTATCATGTCAAGCCCATATACCTTATTCTAGCTTTCGGACACGCCAATCTATTCATTCTAGTAGAATCATATTTTGACCTTGTTAATTATTCGCTTATCAATCTTGACTGCTTTTATATAATCATATGCTTGTACACTTCTTATTCTATTCATCACATGTCTGTAACTTTTTTTGTGTAACTATAAATATTGATTAACACTTGGTTAAATGGGATTTGGCTTACCCGCCATCTCCACTGCGCGTCGTTCCACTTCTCTCTACTCCATTCGTTTCATATACAAAATTTATGTATTCAAAAGTCAGTACTTGTACTTGACTTATTTAATTCCGTTATTCACGCAACGCGGATTAAGTCGATCAAGATATACGAGAACAGTCAGGATATACATTTCGACAACGATCATTCATAAGATCAAATTGGAGTCAGATCCACGGGTCGCTGAAGTGGAGAGCCAGTCAACAAACATAGTCCGACCTAAATGACGACAAAATAAAGGGCCCCACAAAAGGCTTACAGACAGTTGTTTTGAGTTCCAGATGTTCTTCACTTGTTATGTTGCCCTTGCTTTGACGATTCGTGCCTTCACATCTGCATGAGATCCACTGTGCTCGTCAACGATGCTACCCAGATATTGGGAGGTTTTGACATCTTCCAAAACAATATCTATCCAATAATTCATACAGTAAAAACTTGGAAATGAAGAAATACAAGGAAGTCTTTGGCACTAACACATAATAAACATGAGATGGTGTAGATTTGTAGCTCAGGTGGATGATTTTGATGGAGTTTTGTTCTCTGAGCTGGATGGTTTTGTCGCGGACCAAACATAATAAACATCTTGCTTAGTGTTGACTGTGGTTAGAGACGTAAGTCATTAGATGTTAACTCAATAACTTGAATGGTAAACGCATACTTAAATCCCTTGAGGTGCCCTTGCTTTCAATCCTGGTGAATAAATGAGTGGCCATTGTTGAGTACTTCAAATTTAAGACAAACCAGCTGTAGAGATTCCTGCTTCCTAATAATACTCCAACTGACATTAGTCTGTGACAAATACGATCTACAAACATAAACGTAATAAATTTATTCTAAATACTATTCACGGTTGATGTGTGGGCGAGAATGATAATGATCGGTTATCTGTTTAGTCAAACATGCAGATAGTCTGACAGGTGTCAGTTGAGTTATATATTCCCTTATCCGTATTATTATTATTACTCAGTTATTATTGATTGTTCATTGTTGTTGGATTGTGTCGGGTTTTGGTTTGGAAATATATTTATGTTCTAGCCAGGCTAATCACGTGTTCATGATCTGAGTTGTGTTGAAGTCCTGTAGAATAGACACTAGGAAGGGAATCTATTGTAGATATTCGTCTAAGGTAAATTAACGTCCCATACGTGTAAACGTGGAAACGCAACCACTATAACCGAACGTTATAACAACGATACAATGATTATCAAGTTCGATAATAATTTATTATTATTATTATTATTAATTTTTGTCCATCTAACTTTCAGTTTTCCATAGTTTCCCATATGTATAAATGAAAACTGTGTGTACACATAATAAGTATTAAACAAAATGTCACTTTCTTTCATGTCACTTTATTAGACTTAAGAAAATTTGATAAATTTCATTATATTACCAATGTGTATCCCTTTTACTTTTATTTTTACATGTTTGTAACTATGCCCTTTTGTGTTTGATCTTGTGTGTGTGTGCGTATATGTGGTTGTTAGTTTTGAAAAAAATAAAATTAAAAATTCCACCTTTCACATGAACTGATTTATATGCATAGATTTATGCGTATATATATATATATAGATTATTGATCTATCCTGAAAATAGATTCTTTATAATTTATTATACTATAGTGATATTTCTGAAATAACAACAACAACAACAAAAAATCACAACGATAATGTTATCATGAATTCAGTTTAATTTGATTTTAAGATGATGGTTGAAGGTACTCAACAGGAAACTGTGAACTTAAGTTCCGTGCTATTTGGCACTCGTCAGGAAGGTGTATCTGTAATCTTGAAAGAATTGGTGTTTCTTGATGATTTCAATTCCGTGTCACCCAGTTTCATAGTCAGAGATGTTACCATCGAGCTATCCGGATCGTGATTAACCTCCTGCAGGACTGAGATGTATTCACAATTGATTGATCAATGGTTGGTAATCAATGTCATGTTTTTCAGGTCCTTCTTATTGACTACCTCCAACCACCATCATAACTCGAAATAGTGTACGCAATGTCGAGTCACTTAGACTATTGGCCACATTGCAACTTGGTCAATAGGATTCGATATGCACTAAGAAAGACCCGACATACATGACATTGATCACTACCCAATGACTAATCAATTGTGGTTAATTTGATTTTAGTTATCTTAGATTAATATGCACAAAATGAGATGAGCTGTTTAATCTTAAAATAACTGTCTTAAATATAGCAGTTTTATACTCTTTTATAAGTATTTAAGTGATATAAATCTTTTTAGTCACGTATACTAAGTCTTACTTCTACAAATGTTAAGATGAATGGTGATAGACTCCATGTTAAACGAGTAGTAGAATGAGGCTATAAACTATGATTTAACTTTCTATATATATACATATATAGAATCACGTAATTTCCATCACTTCAAACAATCATTCCTTGTCTCATTTCAAATGATAGAATTTATTCGAATTAAAAATGATACAATGTTTTTTTTATCTACTTACATCTATACTGCACCCTGAACTCACTGAACGGACGTTTCGTCCTATTGTGGAACTCTTCGGCAGTGCACATCCACGATCCCAGCTCGGGAAATTCAAACCCAGGACCTATCGTTCTCGCGCTAGGACGCTTAACTTCTAACATCGATTGAGCCATACTATTTGGGCTACAAATATTAAGCTTAGACGGTATTTGGCTCTCATATTAAACAGGATTGAGCTATACTGTATTGAGCTGTCACATGAAAGTCTGAATGATGTTTACTTACTTACTTACTTACGCCTGTTACTCCTAATTGAGCATAGGCTGCCGACCAGCATTCTCCAACTCTGTTCTGGCCCTTCTTTTCGAGTTCCATCCAATTCTTGTTTATTCTTCTCATGTCTATCTCCATTTCCCAGCGTAATCTGTTCTTTGTTCTTCCTCTTCTCCTCCTCCTTTGGCTTCGAGGATTCCATGTGAAGGCTTGTCTTGCGAAGCAACTCGGTGCTATTCTCAATGTGTAACCTATCCACTTCCAGCGCATCTTCCTAATTTCTTCCTCCGCTGGGATCTGATTTGTTCTTTCCCACAGTTGAATGTTGCTAATAGTGTCTGACCAACGGATCCGAAGTATTCTGCGTAGACAGCTGTTTATAAACATTTGTATCTTCTGGATGATGGATTTCGTAGTTCTCCAAGTTTCCGCCCCATACAGTAGAACTGTGTTGACATTTGTATTGAAAATTCTGAGTTTGATGTTGGTTTACAGACAGTTGTTTTAAGTTTCAGATGTCCTTCAGTTTCAAATATAGTGCTCTCGTTTTAACGATCCGCGCTTTCACCTCTGCGTGAGATCAACTGTGTTCATAAATGATGCTGCCTGTACATGGGAAGGTTTTTACATCTTCCAAATCTTCTCCGTCGATTGTGATTGGATTGTTGCATGTTGTTTTGTATCGGAGTATCTTTCTTTTCCCTTTGTGTATATTGTGACCTACTGCTGCTGAGGCTGCTTCTACAATGATCATTTTTTCCTGCATTTGTTGTTGCGTTTGCGATAGAAGAGCCAGATCATCTTTGAAGTCTAGATCGTCCAACTGCATCCTAGATGTCCACTGTACCTCATGTTTCCCTTCAGATGTTGACGTCTTCATAATCCAGTCGATCACCAGGCAAAAGAGAAAGTGTGAGAGTAAGCAACCTTGCTTGACACCATTCTTTACCTCGAACGAGTCTGTCAATTGAATGATGTTTAATTCTCCTAAAAAATCAAATGTCAAAAATTACCCTAGCTAACAAGAATATATGATATAACATCTATATGATTTATATTACTTAAATTCTATTATATCATACAAAATGTGTTCTTTCTTTCTTTTTTTTTGTTTTTGTTTTTTTTTAAAAAAACCCTCTGCATAACAATTTTACTGTATTTTACTATAAGAATAAGTTTTTAAAAAATTTTTTTCTATTTTTTCTCGCTGTTATTGTTGTTCTTTTTTTTCTTCTTTCAACTCAGGAAATTTAGAGAATTTATATCCGTACGAAAAACTAGAAACTCAGGTATGTAGTAGTTTTCTTATTAAAAAAGAAAAAAACTTTTTTAATGATTTAACCTGAGGGTGGGGGTGAATTTTTTTGTAATGAATTTGATCATTTAAAAAAAAACACAAAAAAGAAAAAAAAACAAAACAAACAACAACATTTTATAGAGATGTAAATGTATTCTCTTTCAATTATATTTTAGAAATTGGTAAAATGTTATTGTTTATTAATTTACATTCTAATTAGATGGTTAGTGTGTTATTATTTTGTTTGTTTTGTTTTGTTTTTTTTGTTGAAAGTGAGTTACTTTTCTATGCATCAATCAAATCATATTTGATGGAGAAATTTTGAAGGATTTAAAACTTAAACTTCGTCAACCCTAATGATTACACCTATACTATTCAAACATCACTTAAAGCACTATATTATTATTATTATTAATGGCTTTATTCAATATTATATTTGGGGTACAATATAGAATTCTCAGCATAGGGTATTTCAACAAGTTACTTAGGCAAAAATAAGACAGTAACAAAAACAAAAAGAAGGTTTTAAAAAAGAACAGAAAAAACAAAAAAAAACCGGAAAAGTGTACAACTTTTCAAATTAAAGACATGGTTAAGAATGCAAGTTATTGATTAGGTTAACTCTAACAACCTGTTCGTCACAGAGTATATTTTCTAGGTAAGGTATTATAGAACTTTTATACTTTTGCTTGTGTGCATCGATTTTAATGTAATTACGTCTCTTTCTACCAGAAGATATACAAGGAGAAAGATGTGAATGAAGGGGATGGTTATTATCTGATAAAATAACACTTGCCAAGAGTTTGCATGATTTTAGATGTCTATTCACAACCATGCTTAGTATGACCTCGAAAGATTCACCACACATCTTGCTGACTGCCTTCAGCACTCTCCTCAATACAGCAAAGTCTTTTCTCAAAACCCCGGGAAAGAATAATGGAGAACAGTAGAGAATAATGGGTAATATGCAAGGATTGACAAATTGTAAGAGTAAATGACGAGTAATCCCAAGAGTATGTAATCTCCTTATATAGTAAGCCGAACGGAAAACATTCTTTGACAACAATATCATTGATGTAGATAAATATTTTATTCATCTTACTTGATTTCTAATTTTAAAGATCTAGTTATGATGCCCATTATTTTGTTAAATAGACGATGCAGAATATATTCATTATATGTCAACATTGACATTCCAATGAATCTACGAAAGTTTTTTATGAGGTAATGGAGAATATTTGTAGCTCAGGTGGATGGTTTTGATGGAGTTTTGTTCTTTGAGCTGGATGGCTTGGTCATAGCGCTTTCATCATTCATTCTGTACATCATCATCAGTACAAACTTAAGAAAGAAATGAAATGATCGAATTTCTCTACATATGGTTCACAGCTTGTTCTGTATACCTCAATGTTGATTGGTTCTTATTGACCTTAAACCTGTCATTGTTTACTTCTTTGTTTTCATTTTGTTTCTCAATCACTGAACTCAAACCTCCAGTCACAGTTCATTCACATCAATGGGAAGATTCAAGTAAAACAATACCAAGTGAATTAAACTTCACACCATTGCACAAGCAAGTGGCTATCAGGACTCAGCAGCTAAGTGGATAACGCGATGGCATTTGAAGCGAACGGTACTGAGTTCGAGTCCCAGGGCGGACATCAACTCTGAGATGCAGGTACATCCAGCTGACGAGTCCCAAACAGGACGAGACGCGCGTCCTGGATTCGATTGCTAGCCACTATCTATCTTCGCTTATAATTCATTCACATTGTTTTAGAATAATAGTATACTGAACTGAGAATCATCTAATTTTGTAGGTATGAACAATCCTTTTGAAATGATCTAAATAGTAAATATAACTGAGTGATGATAAATAACAGAACTCAAATTATTTGACTCAACACTTTTAATGATTCAAGCTAAAAAAAAGAAACAGAACAACTGATTATCCAAAATTAAATATGATTAACAATCAATTTCTAACATAAAACAGTAGTCTATTACTGCAATCATTCACTAAACCATTCTAATAACAGATCTATATCTTAATTACTTACGCCTGTTGCTCCTCACGAAGGAGCATAAGCCGCTCACCAGCATTCTCCATTCAACCCTGTCCCAACCAATCCTTTCCAGCTATTTCCAGTTGTTATTCATCCTTTTCATATCTGATTCTATTTCTCGACGTAATGTGTTCTTTGGCTTTACTCTTTTCCTCTTCCCTTCAGGATTCCAAGTTAGGGGCTTGTCTCATGATGCAGTTTGATGATTTGCGTAATGTATGTCTTATCCATTTCCATCGTCTTTTCCTAATTTCTTCTTCAGCTATCTGTAGATTTCAGAAAGCAAGAATGATTCAATGTTGAATGAAATAATCTCTCGAAAAAATATTCAATCTACTGTCTATCTATTGATACTGACTGATAAGTAAGACTACAATATATGGACATTTTTGAACAACGTTACAATGTGCTTGAAAATGTCCACCTAGTTACCATGATTAAATGAGGGTTATTGGTTCATATGAGGAACTGGGATTAAGATTGACAGTTGAATGTTAAGATTAAGAGTTAGATCACGAACTGACATAAACTATAATGCCAAAACGCTATTAAACCAAATGAATGAATAAATTTCGAGCCTAAATTGAAAACGTGCTATCTTAAATCTGATTGGTTCATTTATAAATTAGAGTTTCACTCATTTCCAAAAAATTATATAATCAGAGATGGGTTTTTTGGACATTTTAGTAATTTAATACTTGAATTCCTGAGTCAATTTAAGTCAGACCACCATGGAGAACCTAAAAGAGCTAGACGACCGTTTCGTCCTAGTTTGAAACTCATCAGCTGTGTGCATTGACGATCCCGTCTCGCAAGATTCGAACCTAGGATTAATCAGTCTTGCGCGCGAATGTTTAACCTCTAGACCACTGAGCCAACATCCAATAGTGTTAGTATCTCATTTTAACCAATCCACAAAGTTGGGTTCGGATCTCACGAGGCAGTAGCATGGATGCACACTGCTGAATAGTCTTATACACTGAACGTAACCGCCATCTAGCTTCAATTGTCTCATGAATTCATCTAGTAAATTAATAAGTATATGTTTGGATTTTTCAACAACAAAAAAAAGCAAACTAATTTTAATACAATCTCTTATGATCCTTTTTACTAAAACTTCCATTGAAATTACTTCAAATGATTGTGGACGGAATAGAAGAAGCTTTCGTTTAACAGGCTTCCGTGTCTAGTAGCAATGGATCACGAATAACTTCAGGCATGAACCTAGGTATGTTAACGATAAAAAGAGGAAAAAGAAATTGGTAAATCATAGTATGATACTATCCTTAGTGCTTAAGAATAGATCAAGTTGCCTCTTAAAGGACTCCTTGGAAGTCGCTTGGACTAGCTCGGCTGGCAGCGAATTCTAGCATTTGATAACTCTTATAGAGTAGAATTTGTGTCTACAGTCCGTTCTGGTATGTTGTATCTTAGTTGATTATTCTAAGAAAAAATGAATGATATAGCAACAACCATTCATCTATTTCAACATGTGCACAACATGGAATGATACATATTCATGTCATAAATAACAAACTCTTTTAAAACATGGCTGAATTTATTAAAGTAAAGTAAAAGTTTTCAAATTCATCATCATTCTGTTGTTCATTTCTACACTAAAAAGTTTTTGTTTTTTTTGTATTTTTTTTGTTTTTGTATATTTTTTAAGAAAAAAAAAGGTTTTTGTTTTAAGGTTTTCTTCCTGATTCTGTTTAAGTAATAAACAAAATCACATTTTAACTATTAAAATTTAAAAAATTAAAATAATGAAGAAGAAGAAGAAAAAAAATGAGAAAAGAAAAGAACATAAATGAACATCACTAATCTATACGCCGACGCCATTGTGATCGATTCTGAGTCACGTCGCACACAGTCTCCAACCATTGGTTACGATAGTCATGTGGACCGCAACCAAGTAGTTTGCATCTATCTACATGGATCAGACTAGAAGTAAATGGCTTCAATGACTGATGCCACGTATTGGTTTGGCCGCACCTAACGTTCTTCAAACCATCTCCAACACTAGTTAACATTATGAGTCGTGATAATCGGTGTTCAGGCGTACATAACACATAACTCAACGATCTCAGTTGATGAAGATTCACAACCTTATCAACTGAATTACCATCATTCCCTAATATCCTGTGTCTAACCTCTCTATTATTTACCCGGTGATTCCAGAAGATGCGAGCAATATTTCTGAGACATCTGTGATCAAATCGTAGCAACTTACGAGTATCGTCTACTCTCAATGACCGTAAAGTAGAACAGAACGAATTGCTGCGCACTATAGTCGTCTTTTTATTGATAGATGGATATCTCGCCTTTGTTATAGGTGACTTACGTTGTCAAAAGCCAAACGAACCTTTTGAATCGGTGCTGAGATTTCGTCAGACACCAACCCACTAAGGCTGATCAGACTTCCAAGATAAATGGAGTTGTCGACGCGTTCGATTTCAGTGTTGAATTAAATTGGACAATGTAGTGTCAAGATTTTAATTCTTGTTATTTTTTGTAAATGAGTTTTTCTGGGTTGACTTTAGTTGAGAGTTAAGATCTTCTTGAACTTATAGATTGTCTCTGATATAATATGAATACGTTAGAATTATGATTTATTAACAAAAACACTGGGAAAAATTTAGAATTATTTCTTCTAGTGTTCCATGTTTCCATGAGAAGCTAGAGTATACTTACAATTGACTGATCATTGGGTAGTGACCAGTGTCATGTATGTCAAGTCTTTCTTTGTGCTGATTGAATTCTCAATGTAGTCTACTTCGATTAGTCGCTACATGCAAACTTGATCGATAGAATTTGATCAGTGCTAAGAACGATCTGACAAACATGATACTGGTCATTGCCCAGTGATAAATTAGTTGTAGATATATCTGAATGCTAAAGAAGGTCAATTACTGCCTGATTAGCTCATTGGTAAAGTCTTTAAATGTTAGAGTTAGTGACAAGACATCAAATCTGCCAGAAAGCATCATTTCTACGACGATTAAAAGTACCTATTGGTGATGAGTGCCCAATAACAGTGTTTTCTGTTGCTTTCTACAAACTAACACCTCACAGTGGGAATATAAGTAGACAATATCTAGTTTTTAATTGTAAAGAATTTTTATTGAGTCAAAATACAGCTGTTTGCATAAAATCTCAACCAAACTTAAATTTCAATAGAGAATAATCTTGTGCTTTGTGCCATTGTAATGAGTAAATTGTCCAAAATGATCATACAAACTACGTAGAAGAATCCATCAAAACCGACGGTAGAAAAATATATCAATGATGTAAAATGTTGATATTAAGTTAATCCACCATATTAATTACTTGTTTTTCTTTCATGACCAGTAACCCATTACTTAAAGCAAAGATCTTGTATCTCAATACATTACCAGCGAATAAGCTACAACAATGTGTTAACTTAGATGAGTAGTTTTCTGAAGTTTTATCCATTGAAGGATAGTTATCATTCTGTACCATGATAAATCATTTATGCAGATATGCATGGAACAGCTATAGTTTTGAATTCTTTTTCATATAATTGTGTAGTGAACGAGAATATAAGTGGGGACAACCAAATGTATTTGAATACAAAATCACAGAACATCTTAGTAAAATCTGAGAAAAATACAGTAAAATTCCAATCAATAGTCCCGGACTTCATTGTTCTTTCGTTTCCACACCAATTAATTCATGTTCTCGTTCTTTTCCTTCGATCTTCTTAATCTTCTGCCGCCTGACATTTCACTTTCGATTAGTGATACATACTACTTATATCTGTTGACATCAGTAGCATACAACACAAAATAAGACAATATAGTTCTACATTTCATTAATACATACATTCATTATTGTACTTATATCAAAAGCGATCAAAACAGATGAACATCTTGTTACATGTTAAAAAATATACTAAAGTATTAACATTTGTAAAATATATGTTGCTCACTATCTAATGAACACATTAATCTTTCTAAAGTTTACTATGAAACCCAGTGTAATTAGTTGAAAGCGTTTTAGTTTATGATATTAGAATGAATTATTTGTTTATTGGGTACTCTTTTGTTAATTCATAATCAGAAGGGATTTTTGTGGATATTATAGTCTAGTTTCAATTGACTCATGATCTCAACTAATAAAAAAATTACTATAATATCCACATAAACCTCTTCTGATACTAATCAACATATGCTCACTATTAACTGCCTTCAAGAGTCATTTCCTAGAGTTCTAGTAAGAAACTGTGATCAGTGGTATTTAACCGTAGTTGTTATGAGGAAGTGACTCACTGAAGAGAATTGTGAATGTGTCGCTCAATTTCGTGGATTAGTTGGAGTTAGACATTAACACCGTTGGTTGCCGACCGGCTCAGTGATTTAGGGGTTAGGCGTTCGTGTATGGGACCGATAGGTCCAGGGTTCGAATCCCACGAGCGGGATCGTGGATGTACATTACTGAGGAGTTTCACAATAGGACGAAACGATGATTCCATGCTTGCAGGTTTTCACTGGTTTAGCATCAATTGACTCATGATCTCAACTATTGAAATTTATAATGATTTCAAATTAGAAAATAATTCTTCTCGTAAATCTTTGTTTTATAGGTTGCTTTTACTTACTTTTCTTGAAAATTATACCACGTTTACCTTTATTATTATTATTATTATCATCATCATCATCAACGTTGACCAGATATTATTCCTCGTTTGATAACGTTTCATGTTTTTGATGGAGTTTTGTTCTCTGAGATGGATGGTTTGGTTATGGAGACTTCATCGTTCTTCTGAACGACATCATCAGCACAAACTTCAGATAGAAGTCTATCTATCTGAAGTTTTTGCTGATGATGTCGTTCAGAAGAACAATGAAGTCTCCATGACCAAACCATCCATTTCAAAGAACAAAACTCCACCAAAATCATCCACCTGAGCTACAAATCTTCTACACCATCTCAACGTCTCATGTGATTATATCACTTTATAATACCAAGACATTTTCATACATTTGAAACTAAGAATAAATGAACTACTAATGTAGCTTTTAATTTTTGAGATCAGTGAAAGATTAAAACAGTCATCAAAAGATCAAATAATATTACATAAACTACAAATATATCCATTTTCATGTACCAAATCTTATTGAAATGGTAGAGATGATTTGTAGATCAGGTAAATGATTTTGATAGAGTTTTATTCTCTAAACTAGATGGTTTAGTCGTGGAGCTTTTAACCTTTCGAAGAACAAATCATATCTTCCTACATTCTTCAACAATATAGATTAATGTACTAGTGTACCTGTTACTTACTTACTTACGCCTGTTACTCCTCACGAAGGAGCATAGACCGCTCACAAGCATTCTCCATTCAACCCTGTCCCAACCAATCCTTTCCAGCTATTTCCAGTTGTTATTCGTCTTTTTCACATCTCCTTCTATTTCTCGACGTAGTATGTTCTTTGGCCTTCCACTTTTCCTCTTACCTTCAGGATTCCAAGTTAGGGCTTGTCTCATGATACAGTTTGATGATTTGCGTAATGTATGTCCTATTCGTTTCCATCGTCTTTTCATAATTTCTTGTTCAGCTGGAACCTGGTTTGTTCTCTCCCACAGAAGGCTGTTGCTGATGGAATCCGGCCAATGGATGTTGAGTATCTTGCGTAGACAACATTGTTATAAATACTTGTAATATTTATAGTACTTGTAGAGTAGAACTGCCTTGACGTTCGTATTGAAGATTCTCACTTTGATATTGGTTTAAAGTTGTTTTGAGTTCCATATGTTGAGTTCTACTCAATTGATTATTCAACACTAGTGTACCTGCAAAGGCATACAAATGAAAACAATAAAGAACGAGATACATGTTCACAATTCTAATCACTTTTAAGATTATTAATGTTTATTATTACTTGTGTTTTTATGTACTTTTAACTGATATCAATACACTCTATATTCATTTTGGGTACAATGTTTTTATATTAATCTATTTGTGACTTGTTTTATAGATACAAACAATATTGTTAGTTTAAGTGCGTTATTACATTCTAGATGTCCGGATTTTTCATCACCAATGTGTAAAGTGAGTTATATAGATGTTCTTAGTTATTGTTCACATAATTCCCAATTTTGAATTGTAGTCATAATGTTATTTATCAAATAATTATTAACTTATCCTTTAATGTATATATATATATATAGAAGACAGAAAAGCACAGTAAATACAGTCTGCGTGACATCACTAATACCTTACTTACTTACGCCTGTTACTCCCAATGGAGCATAGGCCGCCGACCATCATTCTCCAACCCACTCTGTTCTGAGCCTTCATTTCTGGTTCTATCCAATTGTTGTTCATTATTCTGATGTCTGTCTCCATTTTTCTCGACGTAATGTGTTCGTTGGTCTTCCTCTTCTTAAATATTTTTACTAAATATATATTAACAAAAAATAATGAACCTATTGGTTCTATTTAATTATTTGCACAAAACAGTTTGAGGTTTCATAAAAACGTAGTAACTACACAAACTACTGTTAATTGCACTAGTAGTATGTTTTAATTGTCTAAAATCAAACTATTTATAATGATGTAAACAGTCCTAAAGTTAATGCATAAATATAAAAATACACAAGCCGATTAATTCTAGTGGAGGTTAACTGTTGAATTCATGTTAACACATTGCGTATATAGCCCACTATTCCCGAATACCATCACTGTTCTTTTCTTGAATGTTGATATTTTTCACTTGATAATGTGTTACATTTTACAGCGTGTAAAAAATTTGTATCATAGTAACTCCCACTTAATAATTTGTGATTCGGTAAATTTTAGTGTTTTGCCTGTTAATATCAGGAATTCATTTACTTTAAATCTCTCTCAGCTCGCATCATCCACTAACATAACCCAGATAACTAAATGGAACTAGATAGCTATTTCATCCTGGTATAGAAGACTTATTACCTTTAAATAGTTATTTATCCAAATATTATCTGAAAATTAATAAGGACAGTTAGTTCTCTTAATTTACCGTGTCATCCATCTACATATACGTTTAGTATTTTCCTGATTCTTCATGTTTATATTTTGTACACTAGATGGTTGTTTCAAAACTGAAAAGAAAACAGGTTTACAAGTCGTATTATATATATTTACAAAGGGGCACCGAATACATATGCGCCACACAAACCATTCTATTTGTTTGTGAGCTGTGATACTGCCCAGGTGTTTAGATCAAACCAGATGGTTTTCATAGGGAGTTACGCCCTGAGCGTTCGACCTAAAGGTCTGATCGACAAAGCAGTGGTGCAACGTCAGGAGATGCAGTCCCACAGTAGCCACTGACCAAGAATTGGTTCATACGCCATTTGTCCCTTCACGATACTCGAACTCATGTGCACCATTGGTTTGGAATCAGTATTTTCCAACTCCTCCAGGTTGTAAACAATACCCTTGCCTCGAGAAGGCAGTGAGTATGACTCCCCTGGTAGTGCCTGTATACACGTGGCCATGTGAGAACATTTCGAGATGGTGAGGTGACTCTCCTCACCCTCAACCGTATCAGGGCATTTGTGGGTTACAAATCATATTATTGAAAACAGTTGAATGATTTGGTTAAAATGTTCATAAAATTGATTTTACTTTGTTTTGTTAATTTCAGGTAATTGGAATTTTGAACTCTGCACGTGTTCGTAGTCCATTGCCAGTAGCAAAAGATTTACAAAAAGCTATTAATTTAATATGTAGTTCAAATGTATTTGTTGATCAAATAATGAAACCATTAAGTCGAACAAATGATCCTATTACAGCAGATCTAATTGAAGGTTTGATTACTGTAAGTCTAATCATTCATGCTAAATGGTTTCAGTCAATTTATTTTTCATTGATCTTTCTATGAAATTAGATTAAACTATTTTGTTTTATTATTGATAATTCATGTGAATCAACATTTGATTACACTCCGTATCAGTAATTCAGTTTGATTTTACAAGAGAGTGTTCGGTTTTGTGTGATTATTATTTTAAAGTTTGTTTAACCAAGTTTGACCTACTTCCTACGTTTAATTATTGATTAGGAGTTTGTTATTTCATTATTCTTATCATTAGTTGATTTACCCAATTAATATCAGTTGTATGCCTTACCTAATATATGTAGTTAAGGAATTTGTTCATCATGATCATTGACTAAGAAAATTGCCTTGATTAGTTTGATGTTTCCATGTATCTATATAAATATTCCTGTATATTTGAGTAAAGTATGACGATGATCTAACCAAATACAGTATTGTTCACTTATATATATATATATATATATATATATATATATATATATATATATATATATATATATATGGACCATCTGTTTTTTTAAATTTCATTAAAATCATGAATCCATCTATGTTAGGCCACCATCGAAAACCTGGAATAACTGGACAGCCGTATCGTCCTAATGTGGGGCTGCTCAGCGATTCTCATCTACCACACCTTATACAGGACTCGAACCTAGCATGAATGCATAAACTTTAGATCAATGAGTCTGCATCAAACCGTGTTGACATCTAACTTCAATTAATTTACGACACTATGTGACTATCTTGTATTGTTTGAGTTGGTTAACTGCTTCACACCCTACACAAATTTGCTCCACTGGTTATGGTTACTTGCTGGAACTCCAGGAATTTCCTCTCAAGATTGGTCACTAATGAACACATATTATATATTCGCTTTATAGCTTTTAGTAGCTCGATATCTGACTCCAATTAGATCGTATGAATGATTGTTAATGAAATATACATCCTGGCTGTCGCCGTATATAATTGTCGACTTAACTCGCGTTGACGAATAACGGAATTAAATAAGTTGAATAAGATAATGGATTTTTGAATACATATATTTTGTACTCTAGCTGATCTGGACAGACAATCAGAGGAACGAAGCGAATAGAAGAGAGAGATACGAAATGACGCTCAGTGGAGAAGGCATATGAGCTAACTCGATTTAATCAAGCGTTAATCATTATTTATAGTCACACAAAAATAAGCTGCTGACATGTGATGAGTAGAAGTGTACACATACGTATGCACTCATATGAAAAGTCAGCGTTGATAAGCAAATAATTAACAAGGTCAAAACATGATTCAAACAGAATGAATAGATTGCCCTACCCAGAAGCTTGAATAAGTTATATGGGCTTAACATAGTAACCGACACCACGACCTGTTTTCTCTTCATATAATTATGTCAGTTTAGGGGTTGTGGAGATTGTTAAGTTTTTTGATTGAGATCATGAACCGATCGATGTCAGACCACCATTGAAAAGCCGTGACTAGTGGAGCTAATCCGTGTCGGGTAAAAACAGGTGTCTACCTCAGTACAATGGAAGATGGTCACGCAATTTCGTGGATTGGTTGAAGTTAGACATTAACACTATCGGATGCCGTCTCAGTGGTCCAGTAGGTTGAGCGTTCGCGCGCGGGACTGAAGGCCCTGGGTTCGAATCCCACGGGCGGAATGCGCACTGCTGGGGAGTCCCAGACTAGGATGAAACGGCCGTCTAGTGCTTCTAGGTTCTCAATGGTGGTCTAACATCAATCGGCTCATGACCTCAATCATCTATTTATGTATTTAAGAATTTCTCCTTTAAAATATATCTTCTATATTTTTTTATTTAACTGTATTTTTAATCTGATTCCGGATGCGATCGGTGAATTATTACGTCATACGTCGCTTTGCAGTCATTCTAATATAAGAAAATACTTTTATGTAGCGTATTGTTATGCCGAATTATTCATTATTATTATTATTACTGTTACTATTATTATTATTAATATTAATATTATTATTATTATTATTATTAGTAGTAGTAGTAGTAGTAGTAGTATATGATAAACTGAATGTTTAAACATTATCCCTTTTTATTAATAGGGATCAAACCTAGCTAGAGAACCAGAGAACTTACTCAAACTTCGATCTTTGGCTAAATCTCTTAAAGGTAAGTAATAATGCACATTTAATAAGATAATAGTGATATAGCTAAATCACTTCCTCTAAAATATTATATGATAATGATAACTAATCTATGACTTAGTGGTGTAAACAATTTCATCTTGAAGAAGGTCAGTTATTACCCAAATGACAAAACTGATAATGTATTTTACCTGAGACTAGTTAATATTAGGTTCTATTCATATTTGAATAATAAGTTCTCTTAAGAGTATGGATACATCTCATTAATGAGTTCCAATCTCCGAAATCTCATGTCTAGAACGTACTTTCATTTATCTAACTATTATTACTTGTTTTTTTTTTTCTATGCCATGAACTTTGGAAAAATGAAGAATTCTCAGTAGTAGGACATCAACAAATTTCTTTCTAATGTATTTTCGAATCGTAATAGTTCAATAGAATATTTCATATGTGTCTCATGTCTATTCTTAATTGAGTAGGTTTTCCATCGTTTTAGCTACTGCATCTATTTTTTTTTTCGATCTATCAATTATTGATTCCATGAATTCCAATGTAATTCACCTTTGTTTATTCAAAGGATAAACATGGGGGAAGGTAATCAACGGCTGCACTGTCGAGGTTTAAACTTCTCATTTCGTAACATTGTGATAGGATGTTAGCTTTTAATCAAACTTTGTGAGTATATACCATAAGCATGAATAATTAATAAGTTGAAAAAAAAAATCTGAAACTGGGAGATTCATTGCAATATTAAAACACTTTTAAAACGGATGTCTTAAATGTTTGAGAAAGCTTAAATGTATTTCGATAACAAGTCGTTTAAATCATTGGGAAAACTGAAACTTGGAGATGGTGGAGAAGATTTGTACTGATGATATTGTTCAGGTCCACAATCGAACTATGCAGCTCCGAAAACAAAACTCCATCAAAAACTGAAACGTAATAGACAGAGTTCAATTAGTACTTATTTGAATAGTTAATTCAAATGATTTTATATGTTTTTGATTTTCTTTCTCAGGATCCGAAAATGTTACAACAACACTGTCAACTTTACAAAATAGTCCAGAAATTGAAACTTGCCTATCAAATTTTGATAAATGGGACTTCAACATATTTGATCTTGAACGGTTAACTAGTAAAAAGTAAACATTAGAGTATTTTTGTATTTAAAATAATATTATTTACTTACGCCTGTTACTCCTAATGGAGCATAGGCCGCCGACCAGCATTCTCCAACCTACTCTGTCCTAGGCCTCCCTTTCTAGTTCTATCCAATTGTAAATTCTGAGTTTGGTGTTGGCTTACAAACAGTTGTGTTTGAGATCCATATGTCCTTCAGTTTCAGATATACTGCTCTTGCCTTACCGATCCCCGCTTCTACATCTGCATCAGATCCACCGAGTTCATCAATGATGCTGCCCAGATATGTAAAGGTTTTTACATCTTCCAAAGCTTATCCGTCAAGTGTGATTTGATTGGTGCATGTTGTGTTGTATCGGAGAATCTTGCTTTTCCCTTTGTGTATATTGAGACCTACTGTTATTGAGGCTGCTGCCACACTGGTCGTCTTCTCCTGCATCTGTTGTTGCGTTTGGGATAGAAGAGCCAGATCATCTGCGAAGTCTAGATCGTCCAGCTGCATCCTAGATGTCTACTTTATCCCATGCTTCCCCTTAGATGCTGACGTCTTCATGATCCAGTTGACCACCAGAAGAAAGAGAAAGAGTGGGATTAAGCAACCTTACCTGACACCGGTCTTCACTTCGAACGAGTCTGTTACCTGTCTTCCATGCACGACTTTGCAGTTTAATCCATCATAGGGATTCTGTATCATATTGACTATCTTCTGAGGCAGGCTGTAGTATCGAAGAAGTTTCCATAGTGTTGTTCTGTCCACGCTATCAAATGCTTTTTCGTAGTCAATATTATATAAAGAATTATATTTGTTTGTATAGTTGCAAAATTAGCCATGAGGAAGATCAGTTCCTTTCAAGATTGTAAATATACTTTGTTAATTGAGTGTTTGAAACCATTAAATATTCATATAGTTTAACTGAAGGGTTGAGTTGAAAAACTATACTTATATACTAGATGATTTAAAATCGCTCAGAATTTGCCTATTGAAGCATTCACCATAGAAAATGAAATAAATTCATCTTTAATTGAATATTCAAATTCCCTTTGTCTTTGTCTAAAGTCTGTACACAATGAAAATAGAGGTAAATGTGTTTTGAATACCGGTGTTACAAAACATGGGATTCTGATTATCTGAACAATCTGGTTAAAGTTCGTGAAAAATGTTTAGTAATGGTTTGTTCTCATTGACTTGTATAGATACATCGTTCAAATGACTCAACATATTGAGTCACATAACTATGATATTCCTGTACTTCCCGTTTTTGACTTCTTCACTGATTGTGTTAGTGTGACATATAAAGTAAAGTTTATTTAAATCACCTCACGCGCTGGTCGTAACCAACCGACAATTCTTATTCATACAACATAAAAGAATACAATTATAAGCAGAGATGAATGGTGACTAGCAGTGGACTTTAGATTGTGCGTTTCGTTCTATTCAAAACTTGTTAGTTGGATATACCTGCATCCCAGGGTTAACGCTTATTCTAGGACTTAAGAAAATTCTCATAGGATTCACATATTCTAACAAGAAACTGATCAATCACAGTCCTAAACATCAATCGAAAGATTCAAAAAATCAATAGAAAAGTGAAAAACGATACAAGTTGATTTCATATAAGCTCAACTTTACTATTTCATCGGTAAACTAATCGTTTCTAAAAATAGATCCGTTTTTTGTATATCTTTTCTTCTTCTTCAGACCTCTGACTTATTTAGGTATGAAGATATTGGACAGTTTTAATGCTCTTAGTGTACTACGTGTACCTAGTCAAATTTTAGTCGGTTGGTTAACAGTAATTGAAGAACATTATCATGTGGATAATCCATACCATAATGTTACACATGCAGGTGATGTTCTACAAGCATCAGCTTACTTTCTACAACATAGTTTAATAAGAGTAAGTTTACCAGTCTAATATTAAAATGAAAAGACTAAGAGTCATATGAATTTAATGTGAATTTTCCGTTACGTTTTTAGTGGCCTGAGATCTGACTCCAATTAGATCGTATGAATGATTGTTATTGAAATATACATCCTGGCTATCCTTGTATATAATTGTCGAATTAACTCGCGTTACTGAATAATAGAATTAAATAAGTTGAATAAGAAAATGGATCTCGGATATGTATATTTTGTACGATCATTGATCCGGGCGGATAGTCAGAAGAACAAAGCGAAATGACTCACGGTAGAGAACGTGCATGAGCCAACTCCATTTAATGAAGCGTTAATTATCACTTATAGTCACACAAAAATAAGTTACAGACATGTGATGAATTGAATAAGATGTACATGCACATGCACTCATACAAAAATAGTCAGGGTGGATAAGTAAATAATTAAGAAGTCTAAAACGTGACTCAAGAAGAATGGATAAATTTGAATGTCCAGAAGCTAGAATAAGTTGTACTGGCTTAACATAGTAACTGACAGTACAAGTTTCTTGTACCTGAAACTGTATCCGCATAATATGTTATCAATAATGAGAGTTGTTTTGTTGCTAATATTTTGGAAGTATTGAGTCATTTGAACTGAAACCTACGTAGTCATACAATCAGACATTTCGAAAAGAGATGACTTTAATTCACCATTTCATGGGTACTATATCTTTCATAAATACCTTTTCAGATAACAAAGATTTTGTACATGGCATTAACTACAGAGTTTCAAGGAACTTCAGTAAACTAATCAATATTTAGAAAGGAGAGACTGTATTGTTTCAACATTATTTGACATTTTTGAATTTACAAAAAAAAACTAATTCTACACAAACTATGGTACAAACCTAGCGAGATGTTGATATTCCCTTAAACTGCTTCGTTTCTAATTCCCATAACGATTTAACTTTAGAACAACATAGATATAAGCGAACAATATTGTTTTCGATTAGATTCTCATCAAGCTTTACTTGAATATACAGTAATATTTATATGCATACATGAAATTATTAAACCAATCAAGGTGTAGATACATGTGAATCTACGAATTCAGCTGCTTCTTTGGAGAAAGTTATATTGGGCGCACTACCAGGCTACTGAATCAAAGAGTTAATGAACACCTCCCTTCGTGGTTAGGAAAAGGTAATGTAAAGACAATACATAGCTCGGTTCTATCACACTTGATCGATAGCGGTCATATAGTGGACAGAAACAAGTCATTTAAAGTTAGTTATCGTATTCATAATAGGTTTCCTTATGGTGTTCGATCTCGTCTCTTACACATAGAAAAAGCTATAAGAATTCGAGCTAACAATCCAAGTCTTTGTGTTCATGAGGAATTTATGAAAAGAAAACTGTTTCCAGTACATAATCAAGTTAAAGATCATCTTAATGGGAGCAACAATATATGAAGATTCAATGTCTATAACTCAGTGGTAATTTATTAGTTTCGATAAAAATATGATAACTGAACATTTTGTCGTCAATATCAACTGTTTTAATACAAGTATCTAGTTTAATAACCGGAATATATAATCCTGTAAGCACTAGACAGCTGTATTCCTTCTCTTATATGGCTTTGCAACATTGCACACCTACAACTTTATACAAGATGAAATAAAGCATATCAAGAGCTCCAATGGTTGAAATTTTAAACATTAGTAGAAACCATCAGTCAGTTGAAGCTAGACCATCATGGAAAACCTGGAAGCCCTGAACGCCCGTTTCGTCCCAGCATAGGACTCCTCAGCGGCGCGCACCCACGATCCCGCCTCGTCAGATTCGAACCTATGATCTGTCAGTCTCGTGCGCAAACACTTAACCAATAGACCACTCAGTCCTCCGGTATCCCACAGTATTAATGTCTAACTTCAAATAATCCAAGAAATTGAGCAACACATACACCGTTGTTTCAAGTGAACTGCTATCTTATAACATACCCAGTTGAACTCCACTATTCACTGCTTCTCACTAGAACTCCAGGAAATACCTCTTCAAACCAGTCACTAGTGAGCATATGTTGATTTGCTAGTCAAGTTGATACATAAATCATGAAAGTGAATAATATTCACAAACCTGTAATGTTTAAGTAATTGTATGTTCACTGTAGTCTGATTCCATGAGATAAGTCTTGGAATTCTAGTATAAAACCCTGGTAGGTGAAGTTTAACCAAGTCGAGTGTGAGACAGTTACCCATTAGTGTAATTAGAATATGAAGTCAAAATATCTCGAATTGACTCAATTTATAGTTGTAAAACAATCGATGTTCAAAATGTTAAGCGTCAACCACGTAATTTAAATGTCGGTCGATAATCCCACTGTTGATGAGGAGTTTTACCTTTAAAGTCTCTCAATGTGACATTGATCATTGTTGTTCAATCGTTCGCTATTTGGACTTAACTTCGTCAAGAATGGTTTTAGTGCAATTCATTGAATAATTAGTTGGCACTATCAACTATCTGACACAACAAAAGAATATGATTTAAAGTCATTGCTAATAAAAATCTACTTATTAGACTTGCCTTTTCATATACATTCTTAAATAACTATCTCGATTCTTGTTGCTTATTATTTAATTCCAGTCAATTTGCACAAATATCGATGAAGTTGCTACACTTTTAGCCGCGATAGTACATGATGTAGACCATCCGGGGAAAACAAATCCATTTCTTGTGAATAGTAATGATCCATTAGCTATTCTATACAATGATATGTAAGTGCTGAAGTGAAATTTACTGTGTAACTTATTTATTATCGTTTGACTATGAAATGATTTGACTTACGATTGAGTAATTTTTGATGAATATTGGTTCAATATCATCCAGAATACCTATGCAGCTGTCCTTCCAGTTAATCTAGAAATTGACTAAATGACATATTCAACCTTAGTTATGTAGTTTAAGTAAGCTGTAATTAAAAACATACTTTACTTGTCCGGATTTCGATAGTTGGACAAGATCACATAATGCATGTAATTCAAAATTAATAAATACTTAATGGCTAAGGTGGATATGAATGATTTTTAGTAGAATTTGACTTTTTCAAGTTGGACATGCCTGGGACCTAGAGTTATTGTTCACATCCAACTGATGAGTCGCAAATGGGACGAAGTGCGTATCCTGGATCCAAAAGTTAGCCACTACACATCCGTGCTGATATTCGTCTTTCTGTTTTTTGGTACACTTTTATAAAGCAATAACTAGGCTTTCTTAAACATGTATTTTAATGCTTATTTAGTGAATCTAAAATGTTAAGCTGGAATTATTCAGTCAATATATTTGTATTCTTTTATTGTTTTTTTATTCAAGTGCTGTATTAGAAAGTCATCATGCGGCTGTTTCATTTGAATTAACCCTCCGATCACCTGACATCAATATTTTTCAGAATTTGACACGGTAAGTGACGTCTTTAAAAATCTTGTGGTGTATTTCATACACTCACATTTTCTATAAGTTGACCATTCATGTGTAGTGACTCACTTTTATCACGAGAACACAACTGGTTTAATGAAAACAATTATTATTATAACCAACTGTACCAGTGCTTGTTTTAATGTGCTTTTGTTTAACTGGGCTAATTACAGCCATTTTGTGCTTCCATTACCTTCCATCATTGTTGTTCCGCGGTTTTTGTCTTTGTTCTCATGTACTCCATTCTCCTGCTTTCGCTTGTACCATTTCTTGGCACGATCTTGGTATTCGTTCGATACCACGAGATCGCCAACGAAATAAATCTGGTTACGTTCAACCTTCGCCTTCTGATTTGTTTGGTACACGTTTCCTTGTAGTGGCGTTCATAGTCAATTTCTACATCGACATCACGCTACACATGCATCAAACTCACCGTTCCAATGAACGTTAGGAAGATCTCATTCTACCTTACAAAATATTCTTATTTCCGAAACACCAAGAGTATTAGAGAAAACGCCGCAACATCAAACTGAGTCGGTGGATGACAAGTATCCATTCACGGTAATTGTTATGCGGTAATTCCAAATTAGAGGTGGATACAGCACCAAAATCGTAGAGTAATAATTACCGTTTCAATCTATTTTGACAGTAACAAAAGCTCACTTATTCAACGTTTTGCTTTGATTACAGAATAAAGTTCTCCGTTCAAAACTACCTATATCATGAGAAATTCCTGTTGCTTATGCAGTTATTTTGTGAATATTGACTTATATGTATAATCAGAATCAATGACCTACTCTAGACGAACCACCCAATCAATATAAAAAACTGACCCAAACCTTAACGCTTATTAGTCCACGAACACTTCCAATCCCAGTGTCCAATCAGAGGACGAAGTTAACAAGCAGATCTCTAATATTATCCTTCTATGTCTTACATCTTAAACACTCGCAAGAGTGATATACACTATCAGACCATACCACACCATAAACCAGAAATCATAGTTTGTACATAACTAAGCCACTATTAACACAAAACTGAGCAATTGCTTCGTAATTAGTTAAAAATAACTAAGGGAAAATGAAACATATTACAACAGTTCATGATCACTGGCTAGGACGATAATTACTACATGACAGATGGAGTAGGTTTGAGTGTCCGACCAACATCACATCATTTGTAATAATCAAGTCAATCCTAATGACAGAAGTTCCAAAATGTTACGACAATGTTTTTAAAGTATCATACATAAGTACATGATCTGTTGATGTATCATATAGACAGATACTTACTTACTTACTTGCGTCTGTTACTCCTCACAAAGGAGCATAAGCCGCTCACCAGCATTCTCCATTCAACCCTGTCCCGTGCAATCCTTTCCAGCTATTTCCAGTTGTTATTCATTCTTTTCATATGTGATTCCGTTTCTCGACGTAATGTGTTCTTTGGCCTACCGCTTTTCCGCTTAACTTCAGGATTCCAAGTTAGGGCTTACCTCATGATGTAGTTTGATGATTTGCGTAATGTATGTCCTATCCATTTCCTTCTTCTCTTCCTAATTTCCTCTTTAGCTAAGAGCTGGTTTGTTCTCTCCCACAGAAGGCTGTTACTGACAGTATCCGGCCGATGGATGTTGAGTATCTTGCGTAGACAACGTTTTTATAAATACTTGTACCTTTTTGATGATGGTTGTAGTAGTTCTCCAAGTTTCAGCTCTGTACAGTAGAACTGACTGTCTTGACGTTCTTATTGAAGATTCTCACTTTGATATTGGTTGAAAGTTGTTTTGAGTTCACATAGACAGATGGATTATGATAACTGCTAACCTATTTAATTTATACGATATTTAAACCCCTACACTATCATATCATCTATACGAAAGATCTATTTTATTTACACTGTAATAGACGCTTCTTAAAACGTTTCTACTTCAGAAAGGTTATGTATAATTCGTATTTAGCTGAATGGATTATGTAATCCATCAAGACTTAATAAATAGAAATGATGAATGATTTCACCAAGTCATTTCAAGTGAAAATCACTTATTCTTCGATGTGATTGTGTAGTTTTCACACCATACTATAAACAAACTGAAGTCGAATATATCAATATTGGGGAAAAAACAATCCATTAATCCAAAGGTACCTCATAACATCCGATGGCTTTATGAGTAAGCATTCTCGATAATAAACAAAATAGGATCAGAACCTTTTTCAGTCTACTATTGGTTTTTGATTGTTTTTTTAACCAACTGATATTTATCCTAGTATAAGACTCCTCAGGAGTGTTCATGCACGACCCCATCCCGCGAGATTCGAACTCAGGACCTATCAGTCTCTAGGTTTTCTATGATGGTTTAAATTCAATTGACTCATGAATTCAATTATTAAATTTGAAAAATCTCTTCGTAAAAACCCTCTCTGATATTTATCCAGTGACATAATCCATCATTATGAGTTTTGTTTTTAGTTATTATTATTATTATTATTAAAATGAAGAACAGCAATCCAATCACTCTTGATGGCGAAACTCTGGAAGATGTAGAACCCTTCACATACCTGGGAAGCATCATCGATGAACAAGGAGGTTCAGATGCAAACGTAAAGTCAAAGATTCTCAAAGCAAGGGTCACATTCCTACAATTGAAGAACATATGGAACTCAAAACAACTTTCAACCAATATCAAAGTGAGAATCTTCAATAAGAACGTCAAGACAGTCAGTTCTACTGTACAGAGCTGAAACTTGGAGAACTACTACAACCATCATCAAAAAGGTACAAGTATTTATAAAAACGTTGTCTACGCAAGATACTCAACATCCATCGGCCGGATACTGTCAGTAACAGCCTTCTGTGGGAGAGAACAAACCAGCTCTTAGCTAAAGAGGAAATTAGGAAGAGAAGAAGGAAATGGATAGGACATACATTACGCAAATCATCAAACTACATCATGAGGTAAGCCCTAACTTGGAATCCTGAAGTTAAGCGGAAAAGCGGGAGGCCAAAGAACACATTACGTCGAGAAATGGAATCACATATGAAAAGAATGAATAACAACTGGAAATAGCTGGAAAGGATTGCACGGGACAGGGTTGAATGGAGAATGCTGGTGAGCGGCTTATGCTCCTTTGTGAGGAGTAACAGGCGTAAGTAAGTAAGTTTTATTATTGTTATGATTAGTGTTTCATTTGGATGATTATGTTTTTTTTAATCTTCATTCATTATACAGTGAAGAATATCGCACAATACGTAGCTATATTGTTGATATGGTATTATCTACTGAAATGGTACGACATTTTGATATTGTTACAAAATTTGTAAACACATTAAGTAAACCAATGCTTGCAAAGAATCGTGTAAGTGATTATTGTCTATATAATATTGTTTTTGGATGACAATTCATTTTGAGGATAAACTTCAATTTTTCATTTTTCCAATGATATAATAATTGAATTCATGAGTCAATTGAAGTTAGATTACAAAACCCGTCTCTGATTATAATCATTATATGCTCACCAGTGACTGTCTCCAAGAGTTATTTCCTGGAGTTCTAGTGAGAAGCAGTGACTAGTGGAGTTCAACTGGGTCTATTATAAGATAGTAATTCACTTAAAACAACGGTGTATTTGTTGCTCAATTTCGTGAATTAGTTGAAGTTGAACATTAATACCGTTGTATGCCGGAGGACTGAGTGATCTATTGGTTAAGCGTTTGTGCGCTACACTGATAGATCATGGGTTCGAATCTGACGAGGCGGGATCGTGGATGCGTACTGTTGAGGAGTCTCATACTAGGTTATGACGGCCGTCGAATGCTTGAAAGGTTTTCTATGATGGTCTAGTTTCAACTGACTCATGAATCCAACTATTAAATTACTATAATTTCCACAAAACCCCTCTCTCCTTATTATTATTCATTAAGTCAGTTTAAATGAATTATACTTCTTGATTGTATTCGGATTAGTTGAAATTTAAACCCATATAATTGATCAAGGGGTTATTAATTTTCCTAGAGATTGTTCTCTTACATCAGGTTAATTATCCCAATCATTAATTTTGAAACTAATCAATAGTGAAAGTATTGCATTACATGGTTGATTGTATGAACAAATCAACATTAAAAACAGATTGTCTTATATTCACTTGGTATTCTTTACTTGAATCTTCCCGTTGATGTTTAAAACTGCAGTCAGTTAGTCTCTTGTTGGCATATTTGCATCCTATGCGGATTGCCTGGATATTGCCTTAATTCACATGTATTCTAAGCAAAGATGGGTTCGGGTCCCAAAGTGAACATCAACACTGAGATGCAGTTACATCCAACTGACGAGTCCCAGATCGGATGAAATGTGCGTCCAGTATTCCACTGATAGCCGCTGTCCATCTTTGCTTAGAAGTTTGCCTTATAGCCTAAATGTGAGTTAAGTTTATCATAAGTAAGTTTCAAACCAGTTCTGTTTTTGATCGTGATTATTATAAAGATCATGAGTGATGATAAGAATAGCAAGTAAACGTTTTTTTAACATATATATAGAAGTATAATGACAACCGTCAAAATAGTCAGTCTTAGAGGTAGAATACGTTACATTGATATACTTAGACCGTGATTATATTACACCTGAGCGATACTGTAATGAACAGAACAAAAGTGGGGACAATCGAATGTATTTCACACAAAATTACAGGACCTGTTAATAAAATCTAACAATAATAAAGTTAATGCTTAATTTGCAAAATGTTCATCAATTGTGTCAAAATGATTCAGACTTCATTGTTCATGCATTTTCATACAAATTGCATTCTGTTTCTATTCGTTACTGTTCGATCCTCTTGTCTCTCTGCTGCCAGATCTTCTGTTCACGACTAATATCATATACTACTTATGTCAATATAAGTAGCACACACCACAATACCATTAAATCAGAATTGATCAATTGATGTAGTACTACAGAGCATCTTACATTTCTACTTCATTAAAGTATTTTAACTCAATGTTATCTTTCTTCAAACTCATTTTGTAACATAAATATGTATGTCTGGTTCAAATAATGTACTGATCGCAGAACATTTTATTATTTTTTTTCAATATAGCACCATGATCGTTCATCTGTCGGTAGTATGAGTTCTATGGAATCATGTTCTATGGGAATGACAATATCACATTCTACTTCACCAAGTCCTGGACAAGAACGTATATCTAGTACACTAGAAAACTTATCAACTGCAGAAAATAGAACATTAATTAAACGTTTAATTATTAAATGTTCCGATGTTAATAATCCTACAAGACCATTATCTATATGTAAAGAATGGGCAACAAGAATAGCTGAAGAATACTTTTGTCAAGTAAGTAAATTTTTTAAACTAAAATTTATTTTAATTCACTTGGCGTTGTTTTACTTGTATCTTCTCATCAGTCTCATGTTAGCATATGTGTATCCTGTGCGTATTGCCTCGTTATAGCCTTAAGTCACAAGCTTTTTAAGCACTCCATTTCACAAGCAGGTGGCTATCAGCACTCAGTAGCTAAGTGGATAACGCGATGGTGTTTAAAACGAACGGTACTTGGCTCGAGTCACAGAGTGAACATCAACTCTGTGATGCAGGTACATCCAGCTGACGAGTCCCCAATAGGTCGAAACGCACGTTGTGGATTCCACTGCAAGCAACCATCCATCTTTGCTGAACTTTGTTTTCTTTTTGTCTACTAAACAAAGATTTATATCATGACTTCTTCCACGGTTCAACTATAAGACAGGTGAATAGACGTTTGAATTCATATATTTTTTGACAGAACTCCTACAGTCAATAAATTAAGGTATTCCGATGCAGACAGATGTACTAAGTTTTTATGATATGTCGAACAGATGTCTTCATAAAGCATTTTGTCTTTATTGACATTTTTCCATATAGTTTCTGTGATATCATAATTAGAAGCAAACCTTCATTCAGATTGAATTGATGTGAACTAACACTAGACTCATTTATGTTACTAAGATACCGGTCATATAGTATCTCACAGTATTCTAAGTTTCATTGAAAAAAATAATTTATCGAACTATTTAGGTCTTTAATGGTTTATTCGATAACAATGTGGAAATCTATAACACAAAGTTGTTATGACTTAATGTCCGGCTTTTTATCACCTGATTTATCCACTAATCAAAATACGACTTATACAATCTTAGCACTGTGCCAGAACCAATGAGGTTCGACCGGTATGGGTAGCCTAGCGTCCTTATTGGCCGTATGTCCGCCTAGCCCGTCCACTTGAATCCAGAACACCAATACCAGCTTCCATTATGCGAATCGAATCGAATCATTTATTTCAGATATACTGGGTTTATATATCAATCAAATAGACCGCCATGCACCATAAAATAGGAAATAACATTTGTACACAATAAAGCCAAAAGGTGACTGTGAAGATGGGAAGCAGTAGTCAATAAACTGAGCATAAATTAGGGACAGTAAATCGTACAATAATAATATATATGTCAAAATGAAGCCTATAATAAGAGGAATGTGAATATACATAATCTAATTATTGAATAGTTATACCATAAGAATGTATAGATAATATTAGTCAACTATTATGTCTCAGAAGTTACTCGTGATTTAATCTTCGTTCGGATATAACAAAAGTAATAGCTATTTTCTATAGGTTCTTTTTAAAAAGAACTAACACATACGGAATGAAAAATCGTTTCTATCAAGAAATTCATGTCACTTATAGAACCATCCAAAACTAAAGGACAATTGAACATCAATTTCATTTAAGCACATATCTCTTCACCAATGTATATGCATTACATTAAGATGAAATCAAATGTAACAAGTTTAAATTTAATGTGATAAGTTGATTAATCAAATAAGGTTAAACGTAAATGACCGATTACAATAGTTGAGATCATCAGTCAATTGAAGTTAGACCACTATGGAAAACCTGAAGGCAATAGATGGCCGTTTTGTCCTATTGTAGGTAAGTTAAATATTTGAAGTTCAATCAATTTACGATGTAACAGGATACATCATTCTACGACACCGATGTTTAACATTAAAATCACAACGTTCGTTATGGTTTATTATTTATTTTTACTTTTGATAACTCCTAGGTCTGATGCCATCCATAATCTATTTTTATAAAATAAATCCGTTTACTTTACATAGCTCCTCAATGCTTGTATCTAAGTAAGGATACAGTCATAGATCTGATGATTTTTACGATATTCTTAGTTTACCTAAATGGTTACACTAATCAATACTTTCTTAAACTGTGATTATATTCAATAAGAACTTTCGTCTAAATTTGAACGAATAGTTTCACAATATTTGGGCGCTGAGTTAATGTGAGACATTAAAAAGAAAGATATATTCGTAAAATCTCAGCGAATGAATTTTAAGTAAATCCAACGTTTCGCCTGGCAATCTGGTCCAAGCTTTTTCAAGAAAAATATAATCAAACAACAACAGCATAGATGACAAAATCAAGTTTACGAAAGAGTTGGAATCGCCTGAACGTAGATTACCTTTTCTAGACTGCCTGGTTGAAAGGAAAGATAATGATTGTTTAAAAATTAATATATTCCGAAAGCCTACATATTCAGGGAAATTTTTAGATTTTAAGTCTGCGCATCCACACTCGGCCAAAGTGACAGTGGCCAAAACTTTGATCACCAGAGTCAAAAAACTTGTCACTGAACCAAATGATATAAAAATGGAAATGAGTTTAGTTGTATCCACTCTATTAATGAATAATTAAGAATGAAGAACGGAATGATATTTTAAAAAAAAAAGAGTTAAGCAAGATTGAATGAACACAGTAGTGACCCCATATCGTAAAGGTATCTCAGAAGACATCAGAAGGATTTTAACTCGTCAAAATATAAGAGTATTCTTTCGAACAAACAATACTATAAGATCAAAACTAGTAAGAATCAAAGATCCAATACACAAGGATGATCAACAGAATTGTGTTTATAAAATCAAATGTAATGACTGTAATGCAACGTATGTAGGTGAAACATCAAGGCAACTGAATGTGAGAGTGAAGGAACACAAACTGTGCTTAAAGCACATTCCTAAATCCTCAATTGATGTAAAAATGCTTGAGAACAGATCAGCGATAGCATTACACTCGATTGAATCGGGTCATACAATTGATTTCAATGGCACGAGAACCAATCAAAAAGGATTTAATTCTTACACAGAACGACTAACACCCGAAGCCCTACATATATGGGCTAATTCAAACAATATTAATAGGAGAGATGGAATACAACTAGCTGTCCCATGGCAACTAATAATTAATAAGTAAACCTGATCTCATTTTTGCAATTTGATATATCTATGCCATAGTAACTAACTGATAGATAATACGTTCAATGATTCAAATCCGTTATCTTATCTGAATATGTCAAACAATTGACTGGAACATTAAAATAACACACACATTCCTCTTTGGATTCAGTCTTTTACTTTGTTTACTTATTTAATGCAGGCTGTGGCATTTTTTGATTCATTTCATATATAAAAATGATCTGTTTTTCTTAATATACACAGACCGTAGTCAATATTTAGTTGAATGAAATTTCTTCTTCTCACATCACTTGCGTATAAACACATTCTATTGTCTTAACACGATTTTGGTTCCATAATCACATATCTTGTCCTTATGTGTACAATGACAAGTCTCCATATTGTAAATTTAGAACAACATAGATATAAGCGAACAATATTGTTTTCGATTAGATCCTCATCAGGTTTTACTCTAATATACAGTAATATTTGTATGCATATATGAAATTATTAAACCAATCAAGGTAGTTTATAAGTCAATGATAACAATGAAAACGATTACATAATAAGTGAAAAGTGAAAAGTACAAATTGATGGTGTGACAACAGGTGCATTAGTTTTGATAAGAATAATAAAGGCTCAAATCAGTGTTACATAATCGGAAATAGGTCAATGATTAGAAAAATATAGACAGTGAAATAACATTTATGAAACGTAAAGTTGAGAGAAAATAAAGAGGTAGGAGGGGGTGAAGAAAAATAATAATAAACGAAGAGAAAGTTTGAAAAAGAATAGATAAATTCATCTATTACTTAAGGCCAGGGGAGAGATAAGGGTGTTACAAATTTCTTCTGAACACGAAGACTAGGCTTGTTGGCTCGGATTCCTATAGCTTCTGCTATGTGTAAGAGACGAGATCGAACACCATAAGGAAAACTAGTGGGAATCCGATCAATAAATTTGAACGACTCGTTTCTGTCCACTATATGACCGCTATCGATCAAGTGTGATAGAACCGAGCTACGTATTGTCTTGACATTACATTTTCCTAACCACGAAGGGAGGTGTTCACTAACTCTTTGGTTCAGTTGCCTGGTAGTGTGCCCAATATAACTTTCTCCACAACAGCAACTGAATTCATAGATACACATAGAAGTGGCATAACCAGGTAAACTACCTTGATTGGTTTAATAATTTCGTATATGCATATAAATATTACTGTATATTCAAGTAAAGCCTGATGAGGATCTAATCGAAAACAATATTGTTCGCTTATATCTATGTTGTTCTAAAATGACAAGTTGGTCTTAACCTTGAATTCACCTTGTAATCCGTAAGCCATTCTATGGCCTAGGATAACACGACAATTTTTCTTATTCTTTCTCTCCCCTTAGTTATTTTCAAACGAACTTTTATTTGATTGACCTTTATTATTTTTCATATAAACATGTCTCTTACAGATTAATACAAATACCTATTTATAAAGAAATCCTTCACGTTGATTAGATGACTTATTCAATATACAGTAAACCGAAGAACCATGGTACCTATTTATATTCAATAATTTTGTGTTGTTTGATTATATTTTTTTCCTTGAAAAACCTTGGACTAGATTGCCAAGCGAAACGTTGGATTTACTTCAAATTCACTTGCTGATATTTTCACAAATACATTATTCTTCTTTTTAATGTGATCATATTCATATTCGATGAAATGGGTTTAATAAAATATAAATGCATTTTCTTATTCTATCCTTTTAACTGTTTACAATTTAGACGGAAGAAGAGAAACGACGTAATTTGCCTATTGTTATGCCAAATTTTGATCGACAAACTTGTAATATTTCTCAATCACAGTTATCATTTATTGATTTCTTTTTAAAAGGAATGTTTTCAGGATTTGACTGTAAGTCAGTTACATATTTTGGTAAAAAAAAAAATGTATTTTAAAATTAGTCCCATTAGTTCAATGTATTAATAGGAAATTAAGAAGTTATTAAATTGTGCAACACTAAAGATTCGCTCAATTCGTTCCTTCTTTATTTACCAAATGGCAAAATGGGAATTTTCATCAAAGATTGTGTTTTTAATGAAACTCCAGTTGGCACCCCCTGTGTTGTTTGGATAACCTATGAGAGTTTAGATCGTCTGACGTTAAAGGAAATGTTAGGATGTGCAGAAAAATATACCAATCATTATCATGTTAAGTCTAATGGTGGCCTTGGACTTTAAATGTACACTCCCTATTGGTCGATATTTATTTCACTTGTTAAATATTATACAAATGTTGTTTTCTATTTTATGGTACGATGTGGTCTGGTTGATTGGTATATAAATAGAGTATGTCTGAAATATAATGATTCATATCTCAGAGGCTAAGACTTGTGTTCTGGACTCAACTGGCTGAGCTAGACAGCGAAGTAGGGCCAATCGGGACTCTAGGTTGTTCATTTCGTCTTTACGTGTCACTGATTCGATCCATAAATACGCTGTGCATCTAATCTGCAATCCACAAGACACAACAGGAAATAAGCATGAAGACTTAAAGCACAGTTTCTTCCTAAATGATACCTGTCAGAATAGTCCATCTGCAGTTTTGAGGGATTGAATATTTAGTGAATGAGAACACAAACGAGGACAATCGAACGTATTTGAATACAGAATTACAGAACATCTTAGTAAAATCTGAGAACTATACACGAAATACTTGATTTACAAAATGTCCGTTAATTGTCTCAGACTTCATTGTTCTTTGGTTTCTCGTTCTCTTTCCTTCGATCTTTTCAATCTTCTGCCTCCTGACATTTCACTTTCGACTGATGATATATACTACTGGTATCAGTCGATATAAGTAGCACATACTACAAACGTACCTCATAAAATTGAGATTCATGTCACACATAGTCACAGTCAAACATGTTACTAATGAGTTGGTTGAGTTAGCAAGATTTCGGTTTTTTATTACTGTTGGCAAAATTAGAAGCTTATAAAGATCTTTGGAATAAAAATCTCATTAAAGAAAACGTTTGTCCCGACTAAATGTACATATTTTTGATCCAAGAGAAACGTTATAACACTGTTGTTTTTGACAATTCATAATGGAAAGTACTTTCTAACTTATTGAGGAATATTCTTTAATGAACGGCTAATTACTTAGCTTAATTATATACATGCAATTAATAAGTCACAGTATGTCGTTGCTTACTCATATATGCACTAATGATCAGCTAGTGCATGGTACTCATAGTAAGGTTGTATCAAATGCTATCTTCAATGACGTTGCCAACTGATTCTTCAGGAAATCGTCCATGATTTCACCCATGGATTTCAAATCAATGAATATTTAGTAAACAGAAGTATTTCGTTCCAATCAGTTTTTCGTCATACGCATATATATGATCAACAACAATAAAATAATACTAATAGAGTAGAAGTGTTTCAGAAAAAGAGGCATACATAGAAGATCAGTGACCAGCTAGTATACTCATTTTCACAGCTCAGTACTAATCGAATATGAATAAAATTGACGAAAGTCATAACCAATCGTGCAACAATAATTTACACCGATGGCATTATCACAGATTAATTCAGGAGTATCTGTAGCCTTTTTAATAAAACTGATTTTCTTACTGAATTCGTCGCACAAAAGTGATTAAAATCATATCGATGACAACAATCTTTCAGAAGAAGTTAATTTTCTTGAAGTTATAGTTTATAAATGATGCTACTAGACAGATACTAATACAGAGATCAAGAAAACCTTAACAGAAAACATTCCCTATAGCCGATTCAAATCAGATTTTTACAATTACCCGAATAGTGAAAACCAATAACAAAGACAGACTTTCAGAATTCGCCAAACTCATGAGTATCTATCAACCAGCTACATTAGAGGCACATTTCGACAACTAGATAATCTTATTGTCGAACATCATTCAACCTAGTTGAGAAAAGCATAATTAAGGATGATTCTGAGTTTTATACTCGATAACTTGGTGGACAACAGATATCAGGTTGACTTAAACAAAGGTTTTGAGATTATTTATTGTATGACATGAAATTCACCACCTGAGTTACGAGTTTGTCTTTTCGCTATCACTGAATGTATCAGAAACCAGTTTTTCAACCTAAAAAATGTTTGGTTAAACCCTCTCAAACTTGGTCATCACTGTAGGAGTGGGTTTTTAGTAGGTCCATTTATTTAGACATCAATTAGATCCGACAATGTTGTTTACGGGTTCATCACTTTAGAGGTCAGAGATCTGACTCCAATTAGATCGGGTGAATGATTGTTATCAAAATATACATACTGACTATTCTCGTAGGTCTTTATCGACTTAACTCGCGTTAGTGCATAACGGAATTAAATAAGTTGAATAAGAGAATGGATTTTTGAATACATATATTTTGTACGCTAGCTGATCTGGACAGACAATCTGACTAACGAAGCGAAATGACGCTCAATGAAAACTGCATGTGAGCTAACTCCATTTAATCAAGCGTTAATTATCACTTATAGTCACACGAAAATACGTTACAGACATGTGATGAATTGAATAAGATGTACATGCACATGCACTCATACAAAAATAGTCAGGGTGGATAAGTAAATAATTAAGAAGTCTAAAACGTGACTCAAGAAGAATGGATAAATTGGCCTGTCCAGAAGCTAGAATAAGTTGTACTGACTTAACATAGTAATCGACACTACAGGTTAGAAACGAACAAAACCCAAGTTCCTCGGTTTGATTCCTTGTTATAAGGTTCCAAATAGGCACCTCTGTGGAGTCTAAAACCAAGATGAAATGACTATTTATTGCTTACAGATTATCGATAGTCTAACTTAAATCCCAAAATCTACATACTGATAATTATTATAATATAAATTTCAATTGTTGAGGTCATGAATCAATTGAAGTTAGATCATCATGGAAAATCTTGAAGCACTAAAATGGCCATTTCGTCCTATTGTGAGTTTCCTCAGCATTACACATCCACGATCCCGTCTTGCGAGATTCCAACCCAGGACCTATCAGTCTCGTGCTCGAGCACTTAACTTGTTAAGAAACTAAGTTGAGCTTAACTAATTTATAATACCATCATGACACATTTTAATTTTTCCATTTTGTGTTTTTTTTTCATATCCTATTAGGTGTTTTTCCAATCCCTGAACTAATGAGTAATCTAGAAAGTAATACAGCTTATTGGGCCAATAATATTGAAAAAGAGAAAAAAACACATGTAACTTATCAAACAGAAACAAAATCAATATCTATTCACCAGGATTAAACTTTATTTTATTTTTTTTTTTGTTTTTGTTTTCGGTTTTATATTTATTTTTCAGTACTTCACATTTATTTGTTCCTTTGTTACCAGGTTAGAAATAAATTAATGTAAGCATATAAATATACATATTAGGTCATACACACATACATAGATATGCATGTATGCATATACATCAAATCTATCTATCTATCTATATCTATCCTATCCTATCCTTCCCTGTCCTATCCTACTCTATCCTATCCTGTCCTGTCCTATCCTATCTATCCATCAATCAATCAATCTATGTATCTATCACATTGATATAGAAGAAAGAACAATCTAACAGAATCATATCGGTTGTTTACTCATCCACTATTAGTATTGTTTTGGTTATTGTTTTTATTGCATTCAATTATTCGATACCAACTGAATACTCATTCATTAGTTAATTCTGTACAAACTATACACAGGGCACTTGAAAACGAATAACAAAACAAAACAATAACATGGAAAATAAACAAAACAGTCTAGAATTGCTGTTGAACATTCTACTGAGTATTTTTTTTATTGAAAAGTGTTCATTCTTTTTTTCTTTTCTTTTCTTTTTTCTCTTTTTTTTGGTTTTGTATGATAAATAATTGTTCAGTTGTTAAATTCTTTGAAATCATTCAATAGATTCATCTTCTAATTCTAGATCTATCTTCATGATATTCATATTGATATTGTCACTTGTCATTCTATTCATCTTTAATGATGTTTTTTTTGTTTTCTCTTTTTAATAAGATGCCAAATTATGTTGATAGCGAAGTTTTTGGTTGTTGTACAAGTATGCTTATAATTACATAATTACTATCACTACTACCACTACTACCACTGCCGCTACTACTACTACTACTACTACTACTACCACTACTAATACTAATACTACCACTGCCGCTACTACTACTACTACTACTACTACTACTACTATTACTACTACTACTACTACTAATACTAGTACTACCACTGACGCTACTACTACTACTACTACCACTGCCGCTACTACTACTACTACTATTACTCTTATAAGTAGTAGTATTATTTCTTATATATAATTTTGTTTATTCAAATAAACCATTTTAACTCATTCATATTATTAAACAATTCAATATTATTCAATGAATATTCTTCATTTATATCTTACGATTCATTATTAATCATAGAGATTAATATAAGTAGTATTTTTTAAAAACTTGATCAATATTTTATTTCATTTCATTGTTTGTTTGTTTGTTTGTTTGTTTTCTACCAAATAAAACAATCAAATTTTACTTTAATCTTTCTATTCTATATTTCTAATTGTCTACCTCGTGTAGAATCATGTTTGATTGTGTTAGTATATTGATTTATGACACTTTTATTGATCCATTACGTGCTTATTTACGCCTATTCCTCTCGATGGAGCATAGGCTACCGACTAGCATTCTCCATATATATATATATGGATACAAAATAATGTTTATAGATGGATAAGTTTATATTTCTATGTCTATTATATGTCTAAATGTATTCGTTTATTTTGTTGGTAACTATGATCATCCTCAAAGAATTGCTCTTCCATAATAGAAATTTATTATTATTAATATTACTGTGTGAATAGTAATTATGATTGAGATATATTCTCAACTTGTATTGTACAGTGATAATGTAACTATTTATTGTCTTATTCTATTGTATTTATATTGTTGGTAATTTTGAAACTTGACATTCATTATAATCACATATAATCCATTCAGACCATTGAAGATAAACTTATGATGATGTAATCATATTTATTATGTTGTTGATGTAATAAGACTATTGTAAATCAACAGTATACAAATTGTTATTAGAAAATATTATGAATCGATATAAATTATTCTTGTCATTGTGTATTGTTTTGTTTTGTTTTATACGATGATGTATTTGAAGTAAATATTTGATAGTTTAACGATGATTTGTGACTAAGTATCTGACTCGAATTGGATTGTATGCTGATTGTTTACCTCCATTTACTTACACCTGTTAGTCTTAATGGAGCATAGGCCGCCGACCAGCATTCTCCAACTCACTCTATCCTGGATATTGCTTTCTAGTTTTATCTAATTGTTGTTCAGTCTTCTCATGTCTGTCTTTATTCATTGACATAATACGTCCTTTATTTTTCAACTTCTCCTTTGACCTTGAGGATTCCATGTGGAGGTTTGCCTTGTGAAGCAGTTCAGTGCTTTCCTCAATGTATGTCCTATCCACTTCCAGCGGTTGTTCCTGATTTCTTCCTCCACTGGGATCTGGTTTGTTCTCTTCCATAGTAGATTGTTGCTGATTGTGTTTGACTAACGGATCCGAAGTATTTTTCATAGACAATTGTTAATAAACAATTGTATCTTCTGGATGATGGCTTTTTTAGTTTTCCAAGTTCCCGCCTGATGCATTAGAACTATCTTGACATTTGTGTTGTAAATTCTGAGTTTGGTGTTGGTTTACAGACAGTTGTTTTTGGTTCCAGATATTCTTCAATTGTAGATATGCTGCTCCTGTATTGTTGATCCGTGCCATCATATCTGTATCAGATAAACCGTGTTCATCAATGATTCTTCCCAAATACGTGAAGGGATTCACATCTTCCAAATCTTCTCCATAAATTGTGATTCCATTGTTGCATGTTGTGTTGTAACGGAGAATCTTGCTTTTCCGTTTGTGTATGTTGAGACCTACCACTGTTGAGGCTGCTCCTACACTAATTGTCTTCTCCTGCATTTGTTCTTACGTGTGGGATAGAAGAGCCAGATCATCAGCAAAGTTTATATCGTCCAGCTGCAGTTTATTCAATGAATGTAATAGCAGTAATATCCTACTTATTCTTCTTCGTAGGTTTCGAACTTTCCTGACTATCTAAATACCATTGTTCTTTGTTCATTTGATAGATTTAGTAAGATGATAAACTATTCTGACATGTCATCTTAACAATTCCTCACTAATTTTTCAACATATAAGTTTTGAAGCTGGAGATTTTAAGGATTCTGTAATTTTTAACTGATAAAGGTTTTCAACTTGCTACATACTAGGTCAAGTAATGTATGTCCAGTTTGTGATGAAAGATAGAACGTCTAATTAAAAGTTACCACTTATAAATTTAACAATTTTCAAGACGAAGTCCATGTTCACTGATTTTACTGAATAGAATATCATACATCCACCAAAACCTGTTGGCTCTCGGATTTCAATTCATTGATAAAATTCTATGTTCGTTATGGGTTGAGTTATATTATTATTATTATTAGCTTTATTCAGTATTATATTCTTGGTACCATATAGAATTCTCAGCACAAAGTATTTCAATAAGTTTCGTTTTCCATCCTGATGATAAATATTAAGTGATCGCCAATTAGATGTTGGCAGTTTAGGAATCGATATCTGAATAATGTACATTATATTCTATATATAATGTCAGTAACCAAAAAGTTACTGGCTGTGCAATTTCCTAACTGAATAAGTTGTGCAATTAATTGGCATAATGATCTGTTCAAACAAACGAAACTTGGTTAACTTGTTGAAATATCTAGATAGCAGCAACAGGTAGTCCAGATATTCAAGGAGGCCGCCTAGTTACGCAAATTCTGTCAAGAAGTGATAAATGAAAACAAAATTCCTAAACATTATACTTTGATTGAGATCATAAACCAATTGATATTAGATCACCATTTAAAACCAGAAAGCAGTAAACGGGCATTTCGTCTTATTGTGGGACTCCTAAGCAGTGAGCAACCATGATCACACCTTGCTATATTCAGACCCAGGGCCTTCGGTCTCGCGCGCAAATGCTTAACCAGCATCCAACGGTGTTAATGTGTAGCCTCAACCAATCCACGAAATTGTGCCACGATCTTCCATTGCACTAAGGTAAATACCTGTTTCTACCCGACATGGATTAGGTCTTTGAATTTTAATCTTGAAATAATGAAATATTTCAATAATGTTTTTTTGAAAAACTTCACTTGATCTTTATTATTAACTTTATGTCACCTAAAGTCTTGACAGCTCTTAGAGGTATGAAGGCGGTTATCACTTCCCGGTTGCCCACACCGTGGGAGGGTTCTTCTGGAGGTACTTGAAAAGGAAATTGGATTAGAGGTGGTCTTAGTGACCTGAGAGCGTGACCACAGTTCCCAAGGGACAATTGCTTGAGGTCGTTCACACACGACCCTTTTATGGGTAATTTTTGTGTTAGCTCCGTACTTGTTGAGACCTTACCGCCGGCGACGGATATCTGTGGGATAAGGCGAGGTGTGCATTTTTAGGGTCGACCTTTTCTAACCCCACCTCTTCTTGTGGGGAGGCAGCATCGCTGTCATGCTGGCCGTCTGACGGAAACACCTTGCTGCTGTCACACCTCTGTACAGTCAGGAGTACGACTTAGCCTTCGGACCTTAGGTTTGTTGTTTTTAGTCTTACCGCTCTTCAACCGACCTGTCTAACATGGTAGGACCTTGAGGAACAGTTGCTCTAGCCAATATAGCTCGGTTGCTTGATCACGATAGGCAAGCTCGATCACCACGTCAAGGTAGCAACAACTGTCGGGACCTAAAGTCTCAATAAAACTTCAACCGGTATCAGACAGTCATGACTGTCTATCTATCCACACATCTATCTATCTATCTATCTATCTATCTATCTACCTATCTACCTATCCACACATCTATCTATCTATCTATCTATCTATCTATCTATGTGGTTGACTAATGAACAATTTGGTTAGCTTACTTTTTATCATACCTACGTAGCAGTTCCATTTAAGAAAAAAGAAGGAACATTCCAATTTATAACAAACGTTTATTTTTATCAATTAAAATTCTATTTCTTTTTCTTTATTATTTCTTTCCTTCCATTGATTTATACACATGATTTTCTTTCCTCTTCTTCTTTTTTTTGTTGTTGAAAAATCAACTGGCGCGACTTTAAAATTTAAACGTCGCATAGTTTAAAGTGAAATAAACAATACAAACTATAAACCAGAATGAAAAAAAAGTGAAAAAAGAAAGGAAATTAGTATTTTTTTCTCTTTTTTTTCTTTCTTTCTTTTTTGTCACTTGTTCAAAGAATTCAATTTCAATTGAATAATGTTAAAGTTAAAGTACAATAAAGATACATATACAATAATAATAATAATAAGGCACAATTGAAATGAATTATTGAATATAAGGCAACAGAATTGTATACAATAAGAATGATTTCTTAAAAAAAAAAGAGAAAAGAACAAACATAAAAGAGAGAAAAGAAAAAGAAAAACAAAAGAAAGATGCCTAGAACATTGTTTGTTGACTGGATTTCAAAAACTTACTAATATTGTGTGTGTGTGTGTGTATATATATAAACAAAAACAAAAAACAAAACGTAGATTTATCAACAAAACACAAAAATATTGATTTGAGTACAATAAAAGTCAGTACAATATTACTATATGACTATGACTACTGCTAATATTATCATCATCATAATAATAATATTCATGTTCATTGCAGTAGTGCTGAAATAGATGGCTAATTCAATACAGAATAACCAAGAAAACCAAATGCAAAATCGTGAAATATGTTCATCGATTAGAAGTAACCGAAAAATCAATATATATATATATATATATATATATATATATATATATATATATATATATATATATATATATGTACCTAGACGTCAGAGGGGCACTTAATACTGATATCAGAAAAATATGATGTAATCGTTACTTTCCTCAAAAAAAAAAAAAAACAATCCCCAGTTAGACAAACATCCTTATAGAATTACAAATAATGTAATTCGAAATTTCTTATTAACATTAAATGAATTGAATACTATTGGCTTTTTTTTTAAGCATGTACATTATGTTTGAATAGAGACACGCTTAAAATGATTGTAACCATGGTGACTATCTTTATCTATTATATAAAGATTCATTTAAGAAAATAGATAGAAGAAATGATCATAATCAAAACAAAAACAACACTGTATTGTTATAACTTAAGAATAAAATGCAAAAAACAAGAAGAAGATAAAAAAGAAAATGATAATCTGACAAACTATTGAAGGCACTTTGATAGATCTAAAAGATTTAAAGGAATACATATTGGAAAGAAAAAAAAAAGGAAATTCGAACTAACCAGGTAACTGTGTTAAAGAAGAAAAAGAAAGAAAACCAAAACGGAAATAGAAGACTTTTGACTCAAACAAAATGCAAACAGACAATGACAGATCAATATTAATATAAAGTAAATACAATATATACTACTGAAGAAAAGAGAAACAAAAACAAAACAGACTTACCAACAAAACCAAAACACATTAGTTTCCATTGAGCAATTAATAGAAAGAACACGATTCACTATATCATACAATTACTATTCATGAATTATTTAATTATTGTATGTGAGTGTGAGTATGTGTGTGTGTGTGCGCGCATATGCGTACACACGTGAGTACAAATAGAAACGAAAAAAAGGCGGGAGAAATTTTTAAAAAAAAAACGATTTCTGTATTCTTGTTTAAATAGTTTGTGTAATGAAAATAGTGAATTTGTAAATTGCAACGTATCATTATTATTATTATCATCATTACATGTCTTTACTGTATTTGCGGTGATCTATCTATGTGAATGTGAAGAGAAAAAAAAAGAAGGAATATCTTTATTTGGATCATGTTTAGTTGTTGTTCTGTTCTAAATTATACAAGGATATACGATTAAGATTGTTTATCTGTACAATTATGTTAGGGATTCTTTCTCAAGCTTTAGTCTCCTTCTTATGTCTTTCCCTCTCTCTCTCTCTCTCTGTCTCTCTCTGTAGGTATATATGTGTATGCGTGTATGCGTGCGTGCGTGTGTTTGTGTGTGTGTGAGTGTATACTTCTCTGATTCTCCAAACGTCACAATTATTCAGCAGAATATTGTTTTATATTAGAGTAGATTAAGATAAGGAATTCTCTTTTTTTTTTTGTTTAAATGAAAATAAATCAATGTTGGAAGACATTTTAATGATCACATGAAGTAAATATCACGAAATTTCATTCACATCATCATCATCATCGACATCATCATCATCGCATCATCATTAGCATCAATATGCTACTACATAGTGAATGATTGTTCATTTTTAGCATCCCATAATATACTGAATAAATCGTTTTCATTCAATTTTAATTCTTTATTAAATAATCCATTTAATCCTTTTGATATTTTATATTCATAATTTTCATTATTATTATTATTATTATTATTATTATTATATAATTCTATATTTTGTTTCATTCTAGCTTGTTTCCATATATCATATTGAAAATGATGCCATGTAGCATCAAATTCACGACTCCATTCTAAAAATTCTGTTACATAATACGTCGTGAATTTGCAGCAATTTTCTCTTGTGATATAAATGTATTATTATTATTATTATTATTGATATATTGATTATGATTATGATCATTCAATTGTAAATCAATATTTAATTGTGTTGTTTCCATAGCAACAATATCAATTGCTTCATGAAATAAATTTAAAAAATGTTCATGTAAACGTTGTAAACGTTGATTACGTTTAATTTTAATTATATTCCATTCATATTGTATATGATTTAAATGATGATCATTTATAATTTGATCAGAAATTTCTTCATTTTTTATTAATATTGGATCAGTTAATTTTAATGCCATATATGCACTTAATAATAATGGATGATGAGCTAAGAAACTACTTAATTGAGATATATAAGCATCAAGATATTTTAATATTGGATAAGCAACTTGTTTATTACTATGATGATGATGATGATTTACAATTTTAGAATGAATTATCCCAATATTATTATGATTATTACTATTACTAATACTATTATTATTATTATTAATATTATCAGTAGTATTAGTAGTAGTATTGATAGGTAAATCTTCTGTACTTAAATCTCCTAAAGCATTACTTAATTTTGTTAAATCTAAAACATGTACACAATTAGGTTCTGTTTGAAAATATATTAATTTTGTATTATATTTCTTATTTGATGTCGTTATTATGGATGATGATGATGATGATGACGAGCACGACGACGACGACGATGATGATGATGATGAGGAGGAGGAGGATATTAAACAATGATCCCCGTCTTTGTTATTATTATCATGATGATGATGATTAATTGAACACTGAAATGATAGTTTTTCTAAATCATCAGTGAATTTATTATTACCAATTGAAAAATGGTTATTTGAATGATTTAAATCTGTTGGGGTTTCTTGATTGAAATTGGTTGATAATAATGTTGATGATGACGACGATACTGCTGCTGCTGATGATGATGGTATCATACTTTTATTAACCAACAAAGAACAACCAATTAATAAAATAGGAACACAATCTGTAAATCGATTCTGGAAGAAAAAAAAGAAAAATGAAAAACAATTCAAAAATAATATTTACTCAATAACTAATTTAATATGATGTTGTGCACATTGATTGAATAATGATGCTCTGTAAATTCACTTGGGTTTGTTTTACTTGTATCTTCCCATTGTTATTTAGGACTGCAAGTGATCAGTCTACTGCACAAGCAGGTGGCTAAAAGGACTTAGTAGATAAGTGGATAACACAATGGCGTTTGAAGCAAACGGTACTGGGTCCGTGTACAGGAGTGAACAACAACTTTGCGACGCAGGTACATCCAGCTGACGAGTTCCAAATGGGAAGAAACGTGCGTCTTGGATTCCACTGCTAGCCACTATCTATTTTTGCTTAATAATGTTCTATGTGTGCTTAATTGTTAATCTGATAATATGAATCATAGTTGTTTATGAACGAACAAGTTTCAAACCAAAAAGCAAGCATCTACTTTACTTATTTAAAATACTGAACATTTAATCAGATATTTGAAGTTAGCATTGTCATGTACTCTATCTTTGAAACCTATTTCACTTTACTTACTTACTTACTTTCTTAGGGCTATTACTCATTGTGAGTCATACGCCACAGATCAGGTTTCTCCAACCTATTCTATATCGCCCACTACCATTTCTAGTTATTCTTAATTACTATCCACTATTTTTGCGTCCGATTCCAATATCCAACGCAAAGTATTATTTGACCTGCTTCTTCTCCTATTCCCTCAAGATTACAGGTTAAGGCTTGCCGCATGATGTAATTTGGTAGTACCTGTAATGTGTGTCCTGTGTAACGTTTCAGCCAAAATCTGGTTTGTTCTTTTACACATAGCGTTGTTTCTGATAGTTTCTTGATAATGGATATGGAGTACCTTGCGTAAACAACTCTTTGTAGGTATCTGTACATTTGTATATGGAGATTGATTATAATTCGTTAGCGGCTTTCGTCACATTGATCCGAGTGGAAATATCATTGAAAGACAGGGATCATCAAATATTTGCCTCCCATTATAATCATCATATTATGAATAAACTCTAGTTCCTACTTTATGATGTCAAATGTGCATATCTTCCTAGCTTTATTTGCAAGACATCTTGTCAGCTTTAGTTTGCAACGAATATATACAAAACTAACATATTGTTTACTAGTATAATACTTCTTTTCCGTGTAATAAAACGTCAAGAAAATGTAATTTATTATAAAAAATTCCACATCATTAGATAGCTGAATATATACCATTAAAATTGGCCCAGAGGTTCTTTTATTTTAATATTCTAATCACCGACTACGAAATAATCATAAATGTAAAGGCAACAAAAAAGTCAAGCTTATCAATAATCTCTATCAAGAATTCATTCCCCATTTTATTGATCAACACATTTAAAAAATAATCATATAATTAATATTAGAACAGGTTTTGGAATTCAAGATTAGAATCTAAGACCTATCAGTCACACACACGAGCGCTTAATATCTAGACCATTGACCCGGCCGGCACTCAACAGTGTTAAGGTCCAACTTCAACTAATTCACGAAATTGAAAGATACATTCATTATTGTCATCAGTGAGTTACTATCTGACAACAGACCCGGTTGAACTCTACTGGTCACTACTTCTCAATAGAACTCCAGGAAATACCTCTTGAAAACCGTCCTAGTGAGCATATGTTAATTAATATCTGAAGTGGTTTTGTGGATATTATAGTAATTTAAATAGTTGAGATCATGAGCCAATTGAAGCTTAACCACCATGGAAAACCTGGAAGCATAGGACGACTGTTTCGTCCTATTATGAGACTCTTCAGTATTGTGCATCTACTATCCCGCCTCGCAAGGCTCGAACTCAGGACCTATCAGTCTTGCGCTCGAGTGCTTAACTATTAGATCACTGATCCAGAATCGTATAATTGTCCATTCCTCACATTGATGATATAAAACATTATTGTTAAATATATATTAAATTTCAATAAATCATTTACTTTGCTATCCATAACATATCATCCCATGTTAAATGTGGATCATTCATATCATTCAATACATGATTTATATTATTTTCTCTTTCATTCTGAAATAATCCATGAATTTGATGAATTTCATTAAAATATTCATTTGTTGAAATGTATATATTAGATTCATTAATGGTTTGATTATTATCCTCATGTTCATGATTATTGTTGTTATGACAACTTGACAAAGATCCCATTTTATCATCATTATTATTATCTTGTATAAGATCACCTAATAATGACATTGCAAATACTGAAATACGACGTAGAAATAAATCACTCCATATATTAGCTATTGTAAGACACCATTTCAATGTAGGATATTCAGTGTAATCTAAATTTAAATCAATTTTTTCAGGATTTGGAATGAATCCATTTTGCCATATATTTGACCATGATTTCTTTACTTTAGTTAAATTTATTGGAATTGTTATTGTATTTTTATTATATAATTGATCTAAATATGAATGAATAGATAAGAAATTTTCATAATTAACATCAATTTATTATTAGAAATAGAAGTGAGACTATCATTTATAGACGACTTTTCAGTGACGCTAGATTGACCGTGTCCACCTAGTAACCAGGACCAAATGAGGGTTATAAACCAGTGTGAGCAATTAGAATTATGATTTAAAGTTGATTGTCAACGTAAGGAATTAGATTTAGGGTTTACATCACAAACTGACATCAGCTATAATCTCAGAACGGTATTGTGCCAAATGAATGAATGAATTTCGCGTCAAAATCTAAGACCTGTTATCTTTTACCTGATTGAATCGTCGATAAATTATAGTCTTGCCGAGATTCGATTTGAAAGTGAACTGTATAAAGTGAAATTCTTCAACATAGTAGTATCATTATCATTCTTATTCAAACCCCCTTTATGTATTCAAAAACAGTTTGTTCTCACCTTAAACCTACCCTGGTAATATTGACTTATTATCCAGAGTGATTAGGTTTCAAATTATGTTCACATTATTATTATTATTATTATTATTATTATTATTATTATTACTCTTATTATTATTCTTGTCTCCTCTTACCCCATTTTGAAGTCTAGCTGACCTTTTATTTTTTTAGATATAAGTGTTCTTAACAAGTATATTGTGTGTGATCAGATGTATTGCGCTAATATATCATCATCACATAGTTCTGATAATCTTCGTCTTCTTCTTATTACATTATCGAAATTTATCAAACGGACTAATTGTTTTTTTAATAAAATGTTTGCCTACTAATAAGTAGTAAAAGAGATAACAAAATATTGCGGCATTTTAATATTCATGCCGAAGTGGTGTCATAAGCTGTGGCTATCCGTTAAAATTTAAACGTCTACGAAATTTATTATATTTTGTTTAATTTAAAATTGTGCTCTGTTTATTGGAGTGCAAATACCGTTAAATATTCCATTTCCAGCTTTAACATTAACAGTACTAATAAATTTTTCATGGAACATATCTTGATCTAGTTCACTGAACATATTTGCCGTAGATTGCTATGTATAACCTTAGTCGCTTGTATTTGATAACATTTACACTATAATATTCATCACTTAGCAACTGATTAAACTGAAAAGAGACTGAAGGTGAGGGGTACAATGCAATAAGTGCATATTGAAAATGTTCCGCGTAACATTAGGCATATATACTAAGCGGTAAATATATGCATTAGAAACCTGGTTTTTAGACAAGTATTATTATTTTTGAATCTATAATTATAACAAGTCTGTTCATTATCCGATCAGTTAACTATTAGATATTAATTGAAACTCATGATTCTTTACATCGAGAATTTACGTTATCCGAAAGTGGGAGATACGAGCATTATAAAACATTACTAGACTAAAAAATCTAGAATTCGATTACATCTGCAGTTATGAGTATGAACTACTAAGAACATTTAATTTCCCGGCTAAATATCTAATTTTTGTTTGATATATCACTCATAATCACTTGTATTCTCATAGTTATTAGTCACTGAGTAATATTACCAAGCAACATGTCATTTATTCTCTTACTGTTGATCATATGTATATGTTATAGAAATGAGAACCTGGTTTGAATAGTTTTAATTTATACTAACTTTCTCAGTTTCGTTCCTCTACAACAAAAAAGGAACCTTATCAAGACACTACATCAAAGAATCAAGGCTATATGCACTATGGATACGATTGAAGATGAAACAAAGGCATTGTTTACAACCCTGAAGGAAAATGAATATCCAGAGAAATTTATAAATAAAAACTTAGCCAATAAAAGACAGCGTAGAGAATGCCCAACGGTAAATAAAAAAAGCCTCTATATATACGCTTACAATTCAGAGGCGACGCGCCGAGTGAAATGTTAAGACTTAAGTTAAGTAGATCAATTCAAAGGACTATTAACGCAGCTAAACTACAATTAATGTTCTCCACACGACCAATAGTCACTGCGAAGTTGAAAGATAAATTACCTAGACTAGCCACCTCCTTCTGTATCTATCAATTCAACTGCTCCTGTGGAGCAAGTTATATTGGCAGATGTTCTAGGAATTTGTACATTCGGGTTCGTGAGCACCTACCCGTGTGGTTAATCAAAGGCGTTGTCAAAACTGTTAACAGTTCTATCTTAGGCCATTTAGTCCAAACAGGACATACAGCAAAGATGGAGCAGTTGTAGTGTCAGTTATTATGCTAAGCCCATATACCTTATTCTAGCTTTCGGACATCCCATTCTATTCATTCTACTTGAGTCATATTCTGACCTTGTCAATTATGCGCTTACCAGTCTTGACTGTTTTTATATGAGCGTATATGTGTGTGCCCTTCTTATTTCATTAATCACATGTCTGTAGCTTTATTTTGTCTGACTATAAATATTGAGTAACGCTTGACTAAAATGGAGTTGGCTTCCCAGCCATCTTCCCTGCGTGTCACTTTGCCTTGCTATGTTTCATTCGCTTCATGTACGAAATATATGTATTCTCAAGTCAATTCTCGTTATTCGACTTATTTAATTCCGTTACTGGATAACGCGATTTAAGTCGACGATGATATACGAGAAAAGGCGATAACAATAATTCATACGATCTTGGAGTCAGATAAACGGGCCACTAAAATGGTGAGGCCTTCAACGAACATCTTCCGATCTAAACGAGGACCAAATCAAAATGACTGGTCTCTAAACAATCTTTTGCAATAATTTATCGTGCCAACAGAAGTCTACCTAATTCCATCAGACTGTGAATCCTACAGACGGCTGAAGCAATTGCTATTCGGATCAAAAAACCAGAGCTTTGTATTCAAAAGAAGTATGTTCAGCCACTCCTTTTACCCTGGCCAACTAGCTAATAATCAATCTTATAATGTGGTGACGTAATCTGATTAATCTTCATTTTATGTCCCAAACTTATTATTATTATTATTATTGTTATTATTATCACTATTATTGTCTTTACACTTGATAAACCCTTTTTGAGGAATTTATTCAATATCCACCCCTGAATCTACTATATTTGACCTAATTATTTTACATATTACGTAATTTCCGATTTGTTATCACAATATTCTCTCTCTCTCTCTTACCCCATGTTGACCATATTTATTCTGATCATTATTTATCTCACAATTTCATTTCGCTTATAAACTGATTCAAGTGAACACTACTTTATATTAAACAGCCCCAGCATTAACGATTTGATATGATATAACAAACAACAATTCCTGATTCACATATTACAATTTCCAAATGATGATGTATTCTGTGCCTTAAATTTGGCCAATTTTATGGATTATTAATTTGGATATGAGATAATTGTAGAACCTGATGAGAAATTCATTGAAAAGAATATTCTTCATTCATATAAATTGTATTTTAATATAATGGAAATTTTTCAGCGATTATACATAATCTTAATTTCACTTAACAATCTGATCTGAGATCAATTCGGATCAGTACAAATCACATTACATCAATTCATAATAGGATAACTTACTTTTATTTTGGAAAATACCAGACATTCCATCAATTTCATTATCATTTTGTTTAGAACAGTGAAAATCTGAAGAAAAAAAAGAATGACAAAATATAAAAACGCTTTTTTAAACACCGATTTCAATGATGAGCTTTTAATGTATTAGTAACTCTTTAATTTGATACTGATCAACACTGTTGAATAGTGATAACATTAAATTAACTAAAGAGATTAACAGAGGTTGATTATGAATACAGTAGACCTAAGTGCAGTTAGAAGTCTTCTCTTAAACCGTGAGATTAAAATCGCTTTATTTCTTTTTTTTTCTATGAACTAATTCTTCTTTCCTGTGCTATATCCTTATATGCAATCTATCGTTTATATATTGCCACTATTGAATTAACTACTGGTATGAATTTGATGTTCATCTTGTTGTGCTAATGAAGTATGGAAACTTGAATTGATGCATATATATGCCTGGTCCTACGTTGTAACTGACTGACTAACTGACTGAAACTGATTGATGCATATATATGCCTGGTCCTACGTTGTAACTGACTGACTAACTGACTGAAACTGATTAATATATATGTTGTAGGATCCGGTACAAGTATCGCGAATAAACTTTCCAAACTTTTCATCAATTCAAAGTAAATAAAAAGAGTGGTCATGATAACTGAAGCTAAAAACGAAACAATGAAAATAATAATAATAATAGTTACAGTTGTAGTTTATAATAAACACACTTGGAAAATACTTCTAAAGATTGATTCAAATTCAAAATAAAAAAGTATAGAATGAAGAATGAACGGATATTACTTCGACAATATTCATATAAAGATTCAGTGATTTTAAAGGACTAATAACTTATCCATGTTTGGTCTAGGCTTTTTCAACCGACCCTGATACTAGCGAGTGTAACAGGCTAGAGTAAGATATAGTTGAATATGCGTAATCAATAGCTTCTTTACAAAAAGAAGGATCAAGTAGCCATTAGTGCGTAAATTACCTAACGTATACTGGTAACATTTATGTAACAGTCTTAAACAAAGATTCCAATCTCAAGCGAATAAATAGATACCTCAGGATTATAGATGTCTTTTGTTAACAATCCATATGTAATATAAAACCTAGGTGAAGAAGGTTTTCCTATTGATTTCATTAATTCACATAAACCATAGTAAACTGCCAGCAATTGTAACATTATCAGAAGGGGTTTGTGGAGATTTGTAGAAATTTTCACAGATAGAAATCATGAGTCAGTTGAAGCTAGACCACCATTGAAAACCTGGAAGCACTGGACGGCCGTTTCGTCCTAGTATGGGACTCCTCAGCAGTGCGCATCCACGATCCCGCACCACGCGGGGCTCGAACCCAGGACCTACTGGCTTCACGCGCGAGCACTTAACCATTAGACCACTGAGCCGGCATCCAACGGTAACATTGTAGCATTACACAACGATAGTTTGCAATCTAAAAAAATGAATGAAAATCAAATTCTTATCTAGACAAAAAGCTCATGAAGCTGATTTCAATAAATTCAAATGGATTATAGAATTCAGCTTTACGATAGATACATAGATAGATAGATAGATAGATAGATAGATAGATAGATAGATAGATAGATAGATAGATAGATAGATAGATAGATAGATAGATAGATAGATAGATAGATAGATAGATAGATAGATAGATAGATAGATAGATAGATAGATAGATAGATAGATAGATAGATAGATAGATAGATAGATAGATAGATAGATAGATAGATAGATAGATAGATAGATAGATAGATAGATAGATAGATAGATAGATAGATAGATAGATAGATAGATAGATAGATAGATAGATAGATAGATAGATAGATAGATAGATAGATAGATAGATAGATAGATAGATAGATAGATAGATAGATAGATAGATAGATAGATAGATAGATAGATAGATAGATAGATAGATAGATAGATAGATAGATAGATAGATAGATAGATAGATAGATAGATAGATAGATAGATAGATAGATAGATAGATAGATAGATAGATAGATAGATAGATAGATAGATAGATAGATAGATAGATAGATAGATAGATAGATAGATAGATAGATAGATAGATAGATAGATAGATAGATAGATAGATAGATAGATAGATAGATAGATAGATAGATAGATAGATAGATAGATAGATAGATAGATAGATAGATAGATAGATAGATAGATAGATAGATAGATAGATAGATAGATAGATAGATAGATAGATAGATAGATAGATAGATAGATAGATAGATAGATAGATAGATAGATAGATAGATAGATAGATAGATAGATAGATAGATAGATAGATAGATAGATAGATAGATAGATAGATAGATAGATAGATAGATAGATAGATAGATAGATAGATAGATAGATAGATAGATAGATAGATAGATAGATAGATAGATAGATAGATAGATAGATAGATAGATAGATAGATAGATAGATAGATAGATAGATAGATAGATAGATAGATAGATAGATAGATAGATAGATAGATAGATAGATAGATAGATAGATAGATAGATAGATAGATAGATAGATAGATAGATAGATAGATAGATAGATAGATAGATAGATAGATAGATAGATAGATAGATAGATAGATAGATAGATAGATAGATAGATAGATAGATAGATAGATAGATAGATAGATAGATAGATAGATAGATAGATAGATAGATAGATAGATAGATAGATAGATAGATAGATAGATAGATAGATAGATAGATAGATAGATAGATAGATAGATAGATAGATAGATAGATAGATAGATAGATAGATAGATAGATAGATAGATAGATAGATAGATAGATAGATAGATAGATAGATAGATAGATAGATAGATAGATAGATAGATAGATAGATAGATAGATAGATAGATAGATAGATAGATAGATAGATAGATAGATAGATAGATAGATAGATAGATAGATAGATAGATAGATAGATAGATAGATAGATAGATAGATAGATAGATAGATAGATAGATAGATAGATAGATAGATAGATAGATAGATAGATAGATAGATAGATAGATAGATAGATAGATAGATAGATAGATAGATAGATAGATAGATAGATAGATAGATAGATAGATAGATAGATAGATAGATAGATAGATAGATAGATAGATAGATAGATAGATAGATAGATAGATAGATAGATAGATAGATAGATAGATAGATAGATAGATAGATAGATAGATAGATAGATAGATAGATAGATAGATAGATAGATAGATAGATAGATAGATAGATAGATAGATAGATAGATAGATAGATAGATAGATAGATAGATAGATAGATAGATAGATAGATAGATAGATAGATAGATAGATAGATAGATAGATAGATAGATAGATAGATAGATAGATAGATAGATAGATAGATAGATAGATAGATAGATAGATAGATAGATAGATAGATAGATAGATAGATAGATAGATAGATAGATAGATAGATAGATAGATAGATAGATAGATAGATAGATAGATAGATAGATAGATAGATAGATAGATAGATAGATAGATAGATAGATAGATAGATAGATAGATAGATAGATAGATAGATAGATAGATAGATAGATAGATAGATAGATAGATAGATAGATAGATAGATAGATAGATAGATAGATAGATAGATAGATAGATAGATAGATAGATAGATAGATAGATAGATAGATAGATAGATAGATAGATAGATAGATAGATAGATAGATAGATAGATAGATAGATAGATAGATAGATAGATAGATAGATAGATAGATAGATAGATAGATAGATAGATAGATAGATAGATAGATAGATAGATAGATAGATAGATAGATAGATAGATAGATAGATAGATAGATAGATAGATAGATAGATAGATAGATAGATAGATAGATAGATAGATAGATAGATAGATAGATAGATAGATAGATAGATAGATAGATAGATAGATAGATAGATAGATAGATAGATAGATAGATAGATAGATAGATAGATAGATAGATAGATAGATAGATAGATAGATAGATAGATAGATAGATAGATAGATAGATAGATAGATAGATAGATAGATAGATAGATAGATAGATAGATAGATAGATAGATAGATAGATAGATAGATAGATAGATAGATAGATAGATAGATAGATAGATAGATAGATAGATAGATAGATAGATAGATAGATAGATAGATAGATAGATAGATAGATAGATAGATAGATAGATAGATAGATAGATAGATAGATAGATAGATAGATAGATAGATAGATAGATAGATAGATAGATAGATAGATAGATAGATAGATAGATAGATAGATAGATAGATAGATAGATAGATAGATAGATAGATAGATAGATAGATAGATAGATAGATAGATAGATAGATAGATAGATAGATAGATAGATAGATAGATAGATAGATAGATAGATAGATAGATAGATAGATAGATAGATAGATAGATAGATAGATAGATAGATAGATAGATAGATAGATAGATAGATAGATAGATAGATAGATAGATAGATAGATAGATAGATAGATAGATAGATAGATAGATAGATAGATAGATAGATAGATAGATAGATAGATAGATAGATAGATAGATAGATAGATAGATAGATAGATAGATAGATAGATAGATAGATAGATAGATAGATAGATAGATAGATAGATAGATAGATAGATAGATAGATAGATAGATAGATAGATAGATAGATAGATAGATAGATAGATAGATAGATAGATAGATAGATAGATAGATAGATAGATAGATAGATAGATAGATAGATAGATAGATAGATAGATAGATAGATAGATAGATAGATAGATAGATAGATAGATAGATAGATAGATAGATAGTATCTTCTATTTATACAAGCATCTTTTCAAGTTGAAAGAAATAAAAAGAATGAAAATTTACAAAAACAATGAATTTCCTCTATATCTGCAAGAATATTTATATATAAACTAACTGATTCTTGAAATAAACATAAAGCAGTTTAGTCATAAAAGATTATCATACTAAGTTAATAGGCAGTTTCCATTCAATTTAGTCATTCAGACAGTTCTGTTTGGTGATTTGAAAGTTTATTTCACAATGAAATGAGTATTATTACTGATTGATAGACGTCATTCCTATCGGTATCCTTATTGTTTATCACCCATTATTTAAACGTTTATACAAACATACACCCCTATTATTCATTATTGATGTTTGTAATTTCTTTTTACAAATTTCGATTAGATAAAGACCGTTATGAAGAATATCTGAAACTCAAAACAACTGCTAACAAACACGAAGGTTAGAATTTTCAATACAAATATCAAAATAGTTCTACCGTATAGGGCGGAATCTTGGAAAACTACGAAAGACATCATCTAGAAGATAAAAGTGTTTATTAACAGCTGTCTACGCAGAATACTTCGGATCCGTTGGTCAGACACAGTCAGCAACAACCTACTATGGGAGAGAAGAAACTAGATTCCAGTGGAGAAAGAAATCAGGAACAACCGCTGGAAGTGGATAGAACACATATTGAGGAAAGCACCGAATTGCTTCACAACGCAAGCCCTCACATGGAATCCCCAAGGCCAAAGGAGGAGGAGAAGAGGAAGACCAAAGAACACATTAAGTCGAGAAAGGTAGACAGACATGAGAAGATTGAACAACAATTGGATAGAACTGTAAAGAAAGGCTCAGAACAGAGTAAGTTGGAGAACACTGGTCGGCGGCCTATGCTCCACTGGAAGTAACACACGTAAGTAAGGTAATAAATACTCTTAATAATCAAAGTTTACTTTTATAAGCTCATGAGTGATCTGTACAATTCATGGTTCATAATCAATTGTTTGTAAAGGTATCACTTTTATATTATCGACTGAAGTTTTTCAACGAGATTTAATACCAAGATGTCGAGTTTTGTAAGAATTTTTTTACTCGACTGCACTATTATAGGTCTATAAAGTTATATAATCGTATGATAGTTATGATAGTCATATTTGTGTAAACATCCCTAACGCCAGTTTGAAATATCACTTATTGTGAAATAGGATGAAACAGTCATTGAAATGTGTCACATTTGATTATAGAGGTTGTATCCCACTCCAAGTTATACATGTACATCTTCGAAGAGCTACAAAATCGAAACACTTGTATAGTTCTCTCTATAATTTTTAATGTTAATCCAATTGATATCTATTTAAGAGACATAAGATTATTTAGTTTTCTTGTAGTTGAATTTTTGTTATTTTTAGAAGGAGTAACAATGATGACTTGGTTCTAGTTCATATTTCTATGCTGATCTTTGCTATTATCTTATTTTACGAATTTTACCATTTGTCCGAAGGTCGTGTTTGGCTATTGTATGTACAGAGTTGTTCCATTTCGAATATGTCTTCTTGAAAACAACGTTTTCCTGATCACATATCTCTTACTGTTTTGAGGATTACTGAGTAAATGCCTTGTATCGCTTGCCTTTTCATTGAGTTCTCATTAGATCACACACGTATTAAACGAAGTTACCGTAAGCTGAACGTAGCAGCATCGTTTCATCGTATCGATTGTAACAAAAACTTATAAGTTGATCATAGTGTTATTGTTAACTGATTAAAATAGAGTATTAAGCAACAGTTGGCATTTATTTTAAGTATCACCTGTGATTCATATTTATCAAAAACCACGCTGAAATCAACTTCTAAACTATTCAGTTTATAACATTATCTAGTAAATGGAGTACACCCAATAAGATATTAAGTAAGAAAGATTAGTTCAATGAAGAGTTCTCTTGTCGGCGGATTCATTTTCAAAGCTGTAAAATCACAAATATATATATATATATATATATATATATATATATATATATATATATATATATATATATTTCAGGATGATAATAATAACGATAACAATAATAATAAATTCACTCGGTGTTGTTTTACTTGTGTCTTCCCACTGTTATTTAGGAGTGCACTTGATCAGTCTCTTGTTGGCATATATGCCTACTGTGCGTACTGTCTCCATATAGCCTTAAGTCACAAGCTTTATAAGCAGTGGAATGCAGTTTGACACGTGTTTCGTCCTATTTGGGACTTGTTAACTGGATGTACCCTCATCCCAGAGTTGATGTTCAATCCAAGGACTCAAACCCACTACCGTTCACTTCAAACACCATCACCGTTATCCACTTAGGTACTGAATCCTGATAGTCATTGTGATTGTACAGCTTTAATAATGAATTCACTGAAAACAGAATACTTCGTTCAACCAATCATTCTTATAAAATTATCATCAATTATTAAGGACATTAATTCATTAAAGCTCTATTCAGATTTAATCATTAATGACTTTTCTAAATCATAACAATCTAAGATTTCGATAGATTCATTATATCTAACACAATATACAATACTTACCATTCAACTCGATCACATCCCATTGTTTTATAATTCTAGTTAACAAAAATTCTAGGGACTACATTTTGAAATGAAAAAAAACTAATATTCACTTAACAAGATCAGATCTCAATTTATTTCGATCATATATATATATATATATATATATATATATATATATATATATATATAGATTGTCTGTCAAGAAATGCAACAGTATTATGTAACATATATATATATATATATATATATATATATATATATATATATATAGATTGTCTGTCAAGAAATGCAACAGTATTATGTAACATGATTCTATGTTAACTCAGTAGGAAATCAGTTAGTTATATTGTAATAGAAAATGAAAACAAAGAAAGTAATGATAAAATCAACTTGAGATGATTTCATTTCAAATGGTAAATGATTTTGAACTGTCATAATTGTCACCTTAGAATAAGGGATGTAAATATTTGTTGTTTTTTTTTAAAATATTTTTAAAAGCAACTTATTCTAATAATATAGATGTGGATAAATAATTAGCTGACATCCAATGGTGTTAGTGTCTAACTTCAATCAATCCACGAAGTTGCGCCACCGTATACCGTAGACTGATAGGTCCTGGGTTCGAATCTCGCGGGGTGCAGGATCGTGGATGCGCACTGCTGAGGAGTCAAGTAATTAGTTAGTTTTATCAGTTCATTCTACGGTGTATACTACTGATATCAACAGATATAAGTAAGATGTATCATTAATCGAATATGAAATACCTGACAGAAGAAGGTTAAGTTGATTGAAGAATAGAGAACAAGAACAGTGAATGATTGCTGTGGAAATGAAATAAATGTGAAATCTAAGTTGATTGATTGATTGATACTTTTGCAAATGGAGTATTTAATGTATGGTTTACAGATTTTATTAAGATGTTCTGTAATTTTGTATTCAAACACATTTGATTTACCCTGCTTGGGTTTTCGCTTACTGCAGTTCTACAAAATAATCTGGATTGACTTGAACTATACACCAACTGACGACTAGGGAACCATTGATAGCTTTTTCATTCTAGTTGAGGACTCGTTAGCAATGGATATTAACAACCATCAAGATTGTTCGTATTCAAGATACTCAGATGTTGGGGTTAGAAAATTACATCTAGTCTGTTGATTCGTCATTTCATGATGCAAACAATCTTCAGATTGAAAATTCACTATGAAACGTCTATCCTAAATTTATTAATGATTAGATTCATTTACTTTGCTAATTCATATTTTGTTGCTACAGTATTTATGATAGGTGGTCGTGGGTGTTTGGTAGAAAGCCCTGTCTGACCTAGGCTATATCTTAATTGCCGCTCGTCACTAAGGAGTACCAGCAATCTTAAGGGGATTGATACTACCAGTGGTATACAAAACTGTTAAATATGTAAGTAATAGAATTTCATTATTCACTAATATAGATACGTTTTAGGGATTTACAATTGATTGATCGCTGGGTGGTGATCAATGTCGTGTATGTCAGGTCCTTTTTAATGCAAATCGAATTCTCAGTCCTACAGGAGGTCAGTCACTGCCCGGATGGCCCAGTGGTAACGTCTCTGACTGTGAAGCTGAATGTCACAGGATTGAATCCATCAGGGAGCATCAGTTCTCTCAAGATCATACGAACACCTTGCTGATGAGTGCCAAGTAGCACAAAACCTAGGTCCAGGGTTTCCTGTTGACTACCTCCAACCACCATCCTAAGTTTTGGGAATGTTAGAAAGTTTAACAAATGAAACAACGCATTACATTATAGTAATGAAAAGATAGAAAAATACAGTATAATAGTGATGGTTTATCGTTAAAATTATTTAGTGTCTATTGGCCGCATTATTTCATATGAAAAATATATGACAATTTCTTGCGGAATGTAGTTTGCTAATAGTAAAATGATTTTGGTATTATGGATAAAGTACCTGACTATGCTGACTACAAAATATTCTATTCAGTATTTGAAAATCCCAAACAGATCAACACTTTATGGTTGAACATTAACCGCTAAGGTGAAAGTCATTCAGTTGTGAATGAAAAATATTGAAATACTCAAACGAATAAAAGGGAAATCATAAACCGCATACAACTTAATAGCTGACTATAAAGTCTGTTCTTAAATTTCTCGTTACGATTTATGATTATTGAAGTTCAACCATGTTGTTAATAACGAACGATAGTTAGACTGTAAATCAAATTGTTGAATATTGTTGATATCATGAACCAATATAATTTCAGCATCAACCGAAAACAAGGCGGTACAGCACAGCTGTCTTGTCATATTGTGGGACTCCTTAAAAAAGTGAATCCATAACCTCATCAAAAAGGACAAAACTCAGGGGTTTCGGTTTAGCGAAATGGTTCAATCTTCAGACCTTTACAATAGTGTACATGCCGAACTTTAACGAGTTCACAATACTTTCAGACCACCTGCAATTGTTTTATGTGGCTAACTACCCATACATGACAAGTTTTAACCCCACTACTCATAGTTTCTGATTAGGATTCCAGGAGTATGTATTTTTCTTAAAACAAATGAATATATTGAGATGTATTCTTAGTGTTATATCTTGAAGGTTGTACTTGATATACCGCGTATAACGTGAGGACTAGAACGCCAGAACCCTTCCAAGTCGCAATGAGAAGACAAGACTAATGAAAGCAATGTTATTCACAGACAGTGTCAATTATAGTACAAAATTGTTCGGTATTTATAGTTTTTAGTAAGAACGAAATCATCATTACAGTCCTCCAAACCACATACAGGGGGTTATTGGCATCGTCCAATCAGGAAGCTACATGCAGGAATTCTAGAATATTCTTCCGAAAAGTGATTGGATGAAATATCTTTGGCTCCTTCTGAGCCTCCTACAGCTTCCTCCAGTTTACCCGTGGTCCGTCGTCACGCCTAGTAATAACGATCTATTGAATTACAAAATTATCATAGTTGTTATGACGAAAAATAGTGTTTTCTACTTGATTACTAAGTGTGAACGCTAAGACTGCAATGCAATTACAGCGAGCTGAAAAATTCAACACCGAATGAAGTTGTTGTCCTCAATCTCACTAACTCACTACCAACTACAATCTATATATTTCATAAAACGTGTAACAAAATAATTATATCGAAGCAATCTACACAGGATACACTTCTGCCAGTAAAAAATGATGAAACTTCTGTGCTGAATGTTAACAATGCAATGATTCAATCGCTTACTAACAATATTCTAAACATCATATCCAATGAAGAATTTTGGTAGTTATTTGAACTAAGTAGTCCAGTGTATGTTTTGCCATGAAAACTAAAAGGTACCAGATTTAAGTCTCATTGTGAACATTAACACTGGTATTCACATTCCTCTACACGACATAAGTCATAAATAGGATGAGTGCCAGGTCTATCAACAATCAACATGCACATTGAAATAGATCCAATTTATCAACCAATCAGGAAAATTATGTACAAATATAGGAACAAAAATCAAACCAATGTGAGACACAACCAAAACAAAGGAGTAAACAATGACAAATGTAAGGTCAATAAGAACCAACTTAACGTCAAGGTGTACAGAACAAGCTGTGAAACGCATATGGAGAAATTTGAACACTTCACTTCTATCTGAAGTCTGTGCTGATGATGTCGTTCAGAAGAACGATGAAAGCTCCACAACCGAACCATCCTGCTCAGAGAACAAAACTCCATCAAAATCATCTACCTGATCTACAAATCTTCTCCACCACAGATCCATCTATTCTATAAAAAGTACTTTATATAACTTTTTAATTGGATTCCTATTTTTTTGAATAACTTACTTGTTCACATTTTGTTTGTAATTCTGGTTTATTTGAATCCAACTGATGATGATTCGGATTTGACCAAGAATTATTATTATTATTGTTACTATCTGGAATACTTATTATTGGATAATCATCTGATAATTTACTTTCATTCAAGAATAGTATATTATTTAAATCAACCGGTAAGATGTAATTAGTATTCGTATTACTATTATTACTGTTTTGTTCAAATTGTAAAGATTTAATAGAATTCACATCTAATTGTAGTTCATTGCATCTAATTGAAATAGACGACGACGACGATGATGATGATGATGACGACAAAGAAGAAGAAGAAGAAGACGAAGAAGAGAACAAAGAAACAGAAGAAGTTGGTAATAATGGAGATAATTCACTTGACAATGAATTCATTGTGGTTTTTAATGATAAATCAAATGATAATTTATCATGACTATTTATTGAGATACATTCTAATGATTGATTGATTGAATTATTATTATTATTATTTGAAAAAGTTGATAACAAAGATTCATTTTGTTGTGTAGTGATTATCGGTATTGTGAATTGTTCATCTATTGATGAAGTACTCCATAATGATGTAACATTTGAATGTTTACACATTTCTGTTAAACTATTTGATATATTCGGTATATTAGGTATAATTGATGTATCCGGTGAAAACATTAAGCTAGATGTTATACAGGGTGAAACAATTGAATGATCATTCATAAAATTGCACATTAAATTATTTTTAGATAAATTATTATGTAATATTGTTGCCGAGGTTAAAGATGTTGTTGTTGTCATTGGTGGTGATGGTGTTGTTGTTGTTGTTGTTGTTGTTGGTGGTGGTGGTGGTGGTGGTAGTGTAAAAGCTGATGGTGATAGAATTTTCGAAGGTGGTTTTAACCGATTTGTACTTTCTTGTTGTTCAATCAATTGAGTAGAATCAGTTAATAGAATGAGGTCATCTAGTGTTTTTTAAGGAGAGTAAAACAATTATTCAATGAAATTTTCTTTATTAATGTATTTAATAAAATATGAAATAATAAAAATTGATTTCATTCAAGATGTACAATAATTCGTCATGACAGTCATAAACACTAATTTGATAACCGCATTCTTCTTTCAGCCTTTTTCTGGCCGAGAAAACATAGACCATCTAGTTAAACAATTTTTACGCATACAATATAAAGAATTGTACCATTATTCTGTTTTCAAAAAAGATGATGATAGTTTATATCACAAATTGATTTTGAATGAAATAGTTATTAAGGGTTAAGCATTCGCGTACAAGACCGATGGTTCTAGGTTCAAATCCCGCGGGAAGGATCGTGGATGCGCACTATTGAAGAGTTATATATTAGGACGAAACGGCCGTCTAGTGCTTCCAGATTTTTCATGGTGGTCGAGATTTAATCGACCCACGGATTCAACTATTAAATTATTAAAAAGCCATAAATGCTGGTTTCTGGGAATTTATTTCTTTTCTCTACACATATAATTAAGACATTATATCAAATAAGAAATTATTGATTTATAAAAAAGTGTAGTACGCTTTTCGTTGTTCGAAAATGGGAGAATTGCACCAAAAGACAAGCTTTCACTCAAGAACAACTATATTTTCTCTATAAGTGACTTCGTTAGCATGTTCACCCAACAAGTGGAAGATACGATCCTCAATCAACTTCCCATTGGGATGGAGAATAGTACGACCAAACCAACCACCTCAGAGAACAAAACTCCATCAAAACCAATAAATAATATTGGTCAGCTTTAATTGAAGATTTTATTCAAATATATATCTACCAGATATCAAAGAGTCACGTTCAGAAGATTAAGAAAAACACAAATCCTTGCGTTTAACTTAAGGTCACTCCTATGTCTTAATATAAAGGAAAATAAGATTCGAAAATCACTAGCCAAGATTTATCTCTTGTCTAATATAATAACTGTTCCGATATTGAACATTGAAACCCGAATGTTTGTGTCTAATTCTCATGGTCAGCTTTCTAGCTGACACCACTGTATTAAAAATAAAGCTTTTATATAAATAACTTTTAGAATAAATCCATCTGACTACGATAGTATTTCGATGAGTTGAGTACTATGTACACTTTAAACACCAACATCTATTCTGGAACTCTAAACCTAAAGAAGGCTAGAAATAAACTGAAGAACTTATGTTTTGATGTACTGAGAATGTCTGTATTTGTACAATAATAAACGACATTGTAATTCATAAAGCTTTATGAAAAGAGGCTGCATTGATTGATTGTTGAATGAAAATAGACGAGGAATAAGCAACCCTTGTTTAGATTTTTACTGAACATTTACTAAGAACACTGATTACACTAAGATTTTCTATAGCTGTCATAGAGACAAATCATTTAAAGTAATTTTTTGTATACCTAATACTTTTCATCATGGGGCTCAATCTCGTCTCTTTACATATTGAAAAAAACTATAAGATTTCAAGGTAACGACCTAAGTATTTGAATTCGTACTATATTTATAGTACTTATCACTTCCTTGACCGAATTAGGCTTAGTGAATGGTTTTACTTACTTATTAGTCTTTATACATTTTGTTCGTTTATTTTTATTGCTCTCTTTGCCAAATCCATTCTTCATTGTCTAATTATCAGAACACTTCTTATTACTTAATTTTATTGGGTTTTTTCAATGAATGTTAATTCAGTGTCAATTTTATCTGGGTAACTCATCAATTTCCCATTATGAAGCATTGATTGTGTAATGTTTATGTAATCTGTTTCCCTATAAACACTAAGTCTTTGTAGTGTCAGTTATTATGCCAAGCCCATATACCTTATTCTAGCTTTCGGACATCCCATTTTATTCATTCTACTCGAGCCATACTTTGACCTTGTTATTTATTCGCTTATTAATCTAGACTGATTTTATATGAGCGTATATGTGTGACCTTCTTATCCTATTAATCACATGTCTGTAGTTTATTTTGTCTGCCTATAAATATTGAGTAACGCTTAGTTAAAATGGAGTTGGCTTCCCAGCCATCCTCCCTGTGCGTCATTTTGCTTGGCTCTGTTTCATTCACTTCATATACAAAATATATGTATTCACAAACCAATTCTTGTTATTCGACTTGTTTAATTCCGTTATTGGCTAACGCGATTAAGTCGACGATTATATACGAGAATAGGTGATAGCAAACATTCGTACGATCAAAATGGAGTCAGATCATTGGGCCACTAAAATGGTGAGCCCTTCAACGAACATCTTCCGATCTAAACGAGGACAAAATCAAAATGACGGGTCTCAAAATCTTAAATGCCTTAATTAGAATAGTGTATTTCATACATAGACTTGCCTATTACTTTATATTACAGCAAAATTTGATGATGATCTAAATGAACACTAATTAATCCATAGTTTTCACTTGATTCTCGAAGAATTTTCCGAGGTGTTATCAAGGAATATCAGAATAATAAAAACCACTGAAAACAATTATACTTATCTTATATTCTATTATTTATAAACAAATGTATTATCAGTTTTTTTCAAAAATTGACTAACCTAAGTGATTGATATCATTCAAAGTGCTGAAATCCACATTTTGGTGATGATGATGATGTTGTTGATGTTCTGTGTAAAGTAAATTCGATGAAGGTTGCTTATCATCATCATTATTATTAATTCTTGTATTTGCTATCGTTGTTTTCTTGGTATTTGTAACAGTACTACCAGAAGTTACTTTTACCATCGGTATTGTCGCTTCTGTCAACGTCGTCGTAGATGGTATGATAAGAGACGATGATGATAATAATGGTGAGGACGTAATACAGTTGACATTGTTTATAGTAGTTTCATTATTGTCACCATTTTCCGATGATGTTTTCCATTCAGTTAAATTGATATCATCGTATTTATTATTTTGACATGAATTTGGAATGATTAAACTATTGAAATGAAAAACGGTATCAGCTGGAAAATAATTAGTTGCTATGGTAGTTGTTATTCTAGGACTTGTCCTATCACTTGTACTATTATTAGTATTGTTATCAGTAATTATTCCAGTGGTTACTGAATTTATAATTAAGTCTTTATCAAGATTATTTGAAGTAATTGAATAATGAACATTATTTAAAATATTTGATGTATTCAATGATGGACTTGATGTTACGCACATAATATAATCATTTAATCGATCATCATTAGTCACTTCTTCTTCTACATATTGTTGACGCTGTTGATGATGATGATGATGAGAACGAGGTGAAATAGAAGTTGAATGATGATGATAATGATATTGCTGATGAGGATTAAGGATAGAAGGATATGAAGGATCTGACAGAATTTCTACCGAATCATTTGAGTTAATGTTGAATCTTTTCAAATTAATCGATTTTTCCATACAGCTTATATTATTTTCTTTATTGTTATTATTATTATTACGATTACTATTAGTATTATTGTTGATATCTATAGGATGATGTTCAGTTAGATGAGGCTTCAATTCTTTCGTTTTATTTTTAGAAAATTTATCAGGATTAAAGCGGTATTTTATGCGATGATTAGAATTATTAATTGTACTATTACCATTACTATTACTATTATTATTATCACTGTCATTATTATTGTGAAACGTAGTACTATTAATATTTGTTGACCATTGTAATGCTTCAGATGATTGTAAATGTTGTTCATGAACAATAGCTGCACGTGGAACTTTATCCAACCATCGTGGTTTACTTCCATCTTCTAAATAAACATAATTAAACCAATGAAAAATTAGCGAGTAAAATAGTAATAATAATAATAATAATAATAAAGAATATACTTTTGTTATATTCCAATGATTAGAAAAATTGTATTTCTAAAGACGTTTCGTAATTTAATGTAAGCCACTTCTTCAGAGTAAGTAAGTAACTGAATAGTACAAAGGAAACAATGCAGAATATTTCGGGTGCAATCAAAATCATAATTATTCTGACCTATTATGATTTTGATTGTACTAAAAATATTCTGCATTGTTTCCTTTGTACTATTTAAACTTGTGTTAATTTAGTGTCGACTATTTATTTCCTCTGAAGAAGTGATTCATATTAAGCTACGAAACGTCTTCAGAAATACAATTTATCTACTCATTGGAATGTAACCAAAATAGATATTCATTATCAACTTTCTAGTTAATGCTCAATTAATTTGAAACTATCAAGTCCAACCTTGGTATGGATACTAATATAGTAAAAATAATAAAAATATTAATACAATTGGTAAGACTATAATTTATGGACGACCTTTCAGTGACGCTAAACTGACCTTGAGAGTGTCCATCTAATAACTACGGTCAAATGAGGGTTATAAACCTGTGTGAAAAATAAGAATTATTATTTACAGTTGATGATTAACGTTAGGAGTTCGGCTTAGGGTTTTCATCATAGACTGACATCAGCTATAATGCCAGAACTTCATTTGTCCAAATAGATGAGTGAATTTGGCACCAAAATCCGGGATCTGTCATTTTTTTATCTGATTGATTCGTCCATAAATTACAGTCTCGTCGAATATAATCAAACCAAAGATCTACATCAAAACAGAGTTCAATGAAGAATGCTGGTAGGTAGCCTATGCTCTTCCATAATGGGTAACAGCTGTAAGCGAGTAAAGATCTACAAATCATGCAAAATATTTCAAAACATTTAGTCAGTGAATTAAAAATTAATTATCTGCTGTGAATAAAGAATTTAAACAATTTTCTGTATCATCAGTGGATCTAAATTGAAATTTCTTCGTATGATCATATCTTGAAGTTGTAGCCTTTGACAAAAAAGAAAAACAGTTTCATTCTAATTTTCAGATAAACTATGATGTTCACTTAACTTTCAGTTTGGTACTATGTTAAAAGAGACTAAACTTTTGTCATAATATATATTGACCTTTTAGATATTCAAGTAACGTTTCAGTGGTAATAGGCAACAGATTTTTACAATGTAATGAAGTCTAATAGTTTAAATGTTGAACATAAATAAGCAATTACGCTACTATTTTTGATGGAGTTTTGTTCTCTGAGCTGGATGGTATGGTCGTGATGACAAGATGGGAGAATCTCTCCAAAAAGCAGGCTTCCACTCAAGAACAGCTGTATTTTTTCCACTGGTGACTTGTCAGCATTTTCTACCAACAAGCGTAAGATACAGACCTCCAATCAGCTGCCCATTGGGATGGAGAATAGCTGGGCAAAGTGGAAGAAAAATGGTGCAGCTAAAGATAACGGATGCACATTACAGGATCCGCAAATACCAACACGTCATAGAAGACCAAAAAATAAGGTTACAAAGGACGCTCACGTCAGAACAGTTGAAAATCTTGACAACAGCCATCGAAATATCATGCAAACGACACAGAGAACAAAGAAAAAACACACAACCAAACCATCCAGCTTAGAGAACAAAACTTCATTAAAAATTATGCTACTAGTTTTGTACTTGTAAAGTGCTTATTAACCGTTACTACAATTTCATTTCATTAATTTATTACATAATTTCTATGATCTCTTTGCTCAAAATATTTAGTTTTCTTTGTTCACTGTCAGAACTATTGGGCTTCACAAAAAACGGTAGCTTAATAAACCACATTATCATGATTTAGATAGCATTCTTAATAAATTGATTTCATTTGAGGAACTATTGAAAATCAAGAACAACTGGACAGTTTTTCTGTCTCATTATAGAATTCCATAACGTTCCTCATTCAAAACTCCACTTAAGTTCGAATTTACAACCTCTTTAGCTCAGATGAAGACCTTAACATATAAATCACTAAGTTGACATCAAATGATTTACACTTGGAACTGCAGTCGATTCACTATGTTAAGCGACTATCCTCTGTCGCTACTGGTGATTCTTATCTCGTCGAATGTTTAAATTTCACCAGTTTCAACATACTAGAACTTGTTGAATTATCCTTTGAAGTAGATTGTTAGTAAGCTAATGATGATCTTGCATTGTAGAAGGTTATGAACATTGAACCTTCAGAAATATAAATCAGCAAAATGCTAGGAACTATACAGATCATGTATAGATAAACTGTGACTGTACTTAGAAATTTAAACCCTAATAAATGGGCCGTTGTCTGCAAGTATGGCCTATTTATTTAAATTTTAATGTTTCATTGAATGTGAATGAAATAATCGTGTTAATAAAAGTACATCAGTTTAAAAATATACTAAAGGAGAGTTTTTAAAGTTGAATAGTTTTAAATGCTTCACTTTACTTACTTTTACGAACTTGTATAAGGTCTGGTCTCATACCAACTCGAAAACATTGTTTTAATCTACACGATGGACATTCGCGACGAGTAGTTGGTGTGATTACATGTTCTCCGGATTTCGCTGTACATGTTAATTCCTAAAAAAAACAAGAAATATAATTATTTCTCACGTAAATTAACATAGCTGGAATTATCAAAAAGGGTTTTGTGGAGATTTTAGTAATTTCAATAGTTGAAATCATGAGTCGATTGAAGCTAGACCACCATGGATCACGTGGAAGCACTGGATGACCGTTTCGTCCTAGTGTGGGACTCCTCAGCAGTGTGCATCCACGATCCCGATTCGAACCCAGGACCTATCAGTCTCGCGCTTGAGTGCTTAACCACTGGACCACTGAGCCGTCCGGCATCTGACGGTGTTAACGTCTAACCTCAACTAATCCACAAAATTGCGCCACCGTACAACATTTTCTTCAGTGAGCTGATATCTCACAACAGACCTGGTCGAACTTCACTGGTAAAGGCTGGAATTGTATTTGTTCGTTTGTATAACCCTGATTGGGATTAAAATCTCTAAATTAATTACAAAAATATAATAGATAGAGTCAAAGTATAAAGAAATGAAGAAGACAGGAGTAGAAGTAGAAGTAGTGAACATTTATGAAACCCAATACATATATATTACAAGTTATGCAAGATTTATGAAATGGATGTAAATAAATTGATTACTGTATTCAAATTTATATTGATAAACAGTCTTCAGTTATTAGAACATTTCACGCTCAGAAAAGTGCTGATCATTGTAATTCATTAGATATGAATTCATTCAAATGATTCGTGTTTGTCTTAATATAAGTATCGATATAGGTTTAGGTAGAAAAACAATTGAAGTTCCAACCAACATCAAAGTCTTAAAATCCTACTATGTATATAAATAAAATCATCGATTAGAAACTTGCATGAATTCGTGTCTTCCCAGTTTTTTTTTACACAATATGTTTAAAGGAAATGTGGTGAAACATAGATGTAAGTCGATAGGGGGAGAATACATGAATACGAAGAGTAGAAGTATTTAAATCTATTTGTTTTATTTTTATCCTCGTTTGGTTGGTCCTTAACCGGTAACTTATATCATATAAGTGACTAATACTAAGATGTATACATATTCTCAAATGAAACACTCAGTTATTTCATTCATTTTTACGGTGTCCTAGATTATTTATCCTGTACAATTTGATTGATAAGTAACACAATCTGTGCAGGTTTATAGTTTCATCAATTGATTTGCTTTAAGTAAAGGGGTTTGAGTCAAATCTCAACACTGTTCACTTAGTGACTTTAATATAGTAGTAAATCATACTAAATACATCTATACTTGACTACCTATAGCACATCGATTATTCTTTCTGGCCATATCGTAAAACTGAAGGATAAAACACAAGTAAGTGTCATATAGGCTTCTTAATAATAGGTAAATAAAAAGACGACTAACTTGGGTCTTAGACCTATTCTTTTCTGTATAGATTCTAAAATTAGAAGCCAATACTACCGGAATGATTTGACTTTTGAAATATGAATAGGGATGTGGTGTTTGAATGGACTAATGATACATTTGTACTTGTTGAATGCTCGATTTCGAATTCTAAATACAATACATTCGTTTGTGCCTGTGTCTTCTTAATTCAATTGCGTTAATCCTGGAATTCCTAGTTCATAATACAATTCAAATTATTCAAAATATTATAAGGGAATAAACCTTAGTGAATCCCTTTTAAATTTTGAAACTGTGAATTGTATACAAAACGTATTTACTTCACTTTTTCATTGGTATCACCTAGTTGAACTGTCAAAAATATAGTTTGGTAATTTTTGAGACTATATTAACATAATCAATATACTTGTACTTATCAAAGAAATATTTCTTATAAGATAATTTATAGTAGGATTGAATATTTCAATTGTCTCAGGTTCTAAACAAAGTTCTAACGTTCCAACGTTCTAACAGTTCAACGTTTGGTTTATTGAAAAAGTACTTGAAATGGCCTTTACCTGAATTTCAATAGTCTTTGTCCAATCAGTTACAAGAAAGCATTGGTTAAAACACTATTTCTCAGGGTAGAAAGGAAATGTACCATCGACAAACTGGAAGAATTAATGAACGTGGAAAAATATCTAAGAGACAACTTTTACCCATAAAGGTTTATTGACAAATATAAAAAGCCTAAAGAAAACCAGACGGAAATAATTACGGTCAATTAAAAGTCAATATCTATAAATTCTAACTTCAAAGGTAATGATGTCACATACATAATCAACAGGAGGCTGAATACTGAGCTAGCCAGAACTTATCCGGCTGCCAAACTATTACATCTCTATAAAACAACATGTTCAATAACTCAATCAGAGGTCAACAGGCACCCCTTCAATGTTACCGCCAACTGTATTTATAAATTTACGTGTACCTGCCAAAGCAGCTATACTGGCCGAACAGAAAGGAGGGCAAACCTTAGATTTTTCTTAACATGTTCCAAAATGTCTCAGAACAAGGGAAAGAAAGAATCTAAACAGTACAATCATCAAACATTTCCTTGATACAGGACTATGCTCTTTTGCATAATATATATATATATATATATATATATATATATATATATATATATATATATATATATATATATATATTTACAATATTCAGTCTATTCAATCTATTTACACCCTTTCTATACTATACTAATGTGTCTTCAATACAACTTTTAACCAAACTCTTTCATGTATGTAATTTAAACTCATCATGTAATTATGATTCTTAAATATCACAGGTTGTAAGCAGCTGACGAGAATCTACGAAATAAAAATGAATTCATGCTATTCTGCTAAAACGTTTGTTCTTGCTCTTTTCAAAATGATAAAGGGAACTATGGTGTATGAAAGCTCTAACTGCTAACCTCGTAGAACTAAATATGCATATCTTTTGAACTTGTTCTGACTAACTTTTAGTATGTTACATTATTTTCTATGGAATAATTTACTGCAATCTCTTCACATAACCAAAATACTACTATCATTTATTCATATTATCAATTTGAACTTTAGCCTGGATACTGAATTAGATATGTTAACACCTTTGACTATAATCCATCCTACAAGTTAAACTATAGGGTAATAAAATGTCTAATCATTGTTATTACTTAGCGTCATTATTAGATTACCCTTTATGCAAATATTTCACCTTTACACTATCCTTAGTAAGTGAAACTAATTTAAATAACATCTATCCCTGTCATTAGATTATAAATCAACTTGAAACTTGTCCAATTATTATTTACTGCTTTTGTTTTGTACACCCTAATGTTAACGTTTATGAAATAATGTGAAGATTCCAGTGATTATACTGCACATTTAACTGATGTCATCAAATAAAAAATGAACGATATTAGTATGTAAATCTTAATAATCTTAATTTTGCAGCAGGTAAATTGTGACAGGAATAACTTAATGGTAACGTCTTAATCTATACAGTGGGATGGCCGTACTTCGAGCCACACTAAAAGCATTAATATCTTCAAGATCACATCTGCGTTTTGCTGACAGGTTTTAACTAGCAAGAAACATAAATCTAGAGTTTCCTGTTGACTACCTCCAAGCACCTAAAATATAAATATTACCCATAGTTCCCAGTCCCCTCCAGTTATGTCTAATTTATCTAATAAAGAACTATTTTATTGATGAGACAAAATCAAACAAGCCAACTTAATAAACTCATAATTATTTTAACAGTTGAATTCATGAGTCAATTGAAGCTAGACCACCATGGAAAACCTGGAAGCACTGAACGGCCGTTTCGTCCTATTGTGGGACTCTTCAGCAGTGCACATCCACGATCCCACTCGCGAGATTCAGACCCATGACCTACCGGTCTCGCGAGTGAGCGCTTAACCACTAGACCACTGAGCTGGTTCGAATCTCGCGAGGCAAGGTTGTGGATGCGCACTGCTGAATAGTCTCACAGTAGGACTAGACGGCCATCCATGGTCCAACCATCTCAGTTGATGAAGATTTACAACCTCATTAAGTGATTTACCATCATTCCTTAATACCCTGAGTCTGACCTTACTATTACTTACCCGGTGGTCACAGCAGATGCGAGCAATATAATAATAATACAGTAATTATAATTACATTTGAATAATTTTAAAATCAAACAGTAAATTATACATTGCATTCACTGTATAAGTGATATGTAATCGATCAGTTAACTTAATTTGTTATATGAAAAAGATAAATAAGAAAGAGTTATCACAATTGATTGATCACTGGGTGGTGATCAATGTCATGTGTCTCAAGTTCTTACTTATTGCAGATCCAATGCTATCGACCATGCTGCAATGTGGCCACCAGTCTAGGTGACTCGACACTGCATGCACTATATATTGAAATTAGATGGTGGTTGGAAGTAGACGACAATATCAGTCGCGGCCCGGATAGCTCAATGATGGCGTCTCTGACTGTGAAGCTGGGTGACACGGGATCGAATCCGCCAGGGAGCACCAGCTCCCTCCAGAAAACAGGTACACCTTGCTGGCGAGTGCCAAATAGCACGAAACCCGGGTCCAGGGTCTCCTGTTGACTACCTCCAACCACCGTCTAAGAAAGAGTTATCTTTGTGTATTTTTATGTTGTATAGTGTTTTCTCCATAAAAGGTACCAATTACTTCACATGAACACACTATAACTGTAAACAAAGCTAAACAATGCTAAAGTGATTTTCTGTGGGTTATCATATGACTAAGAATTAATTTAGATTATTAAATGGTATATTAAATAAGAGAAATTATTATAAATCAGTGTACTAAACTTTTTTAAAAAAGGGCTGAAACCACAACTGTAACTTTAAGTATATGAATTTGGTCATGATTAAATTATTCAGCTCAGAGAACAGAACTGCATCAAACTCATCGGTGAGACTATAATATATGGACGACCTTTCAGTGACGCTAAACTGACCGTGAGAGTGTCCACCTAATAACTAGGAAGAAATGAGGATTATAAACTTTTGTGAGGAATTAGAATTATGATTTACCGTTGATGATTAAGAATTAGATTTAAGGTTTTCATCACGAAATGACATCAGCTATAA